AAATCAGGGCATGTGATTAATTGTAAGAGAGAATGGAGAAAGAAGAACCAACTGTACCTGAGAAAGGGAAGAGAAAAGGATTTCTTTGGCACAGTGACTGCTGTTCCATTCATGTGCTCTACCTCTTTGTCTTTTCTTCATTTGTTGTTGCCAGTGGAGGTCTAGATGTGACAAGTAGGAATAGCCTCCTGGATTCAGTGAGATTGTATGCAGGAAAAAAGGGCTTCTCTGCAAAGGTAAAATAACAGAATCAAAGCAGTAGTATTTGTGTTATTATTTGCTTTAGCAATCTCTAGGCGTGCATCCACAAACCATTTAACCCCCTGTGGGACCACTGGGCGTGATTAAGCATTAACAGTGATAAAAATACACAGTGGTTGCAATTGAAGCTATGTTTACAGCTTGAATGGGAAGCATATTTGAGGGTTTATTGACTCTGGATGGAGGGCTGTAAGGGAGGAGAAATTATGGAAGGAATTAGGACTTACCTGTCCTTTTGCCCGGGCAGGGAGAGCAAGGTGAGTGGTACCAACTGCAGCACAGGTGTTTGACTCACTGTGTGCTGGTGCAAGTGGTCATTCCTCCTGACTTACAAAGAACTGATAAGGTGTCTTATCAGGAAATAAATGAAAAGGGATACATTATCAAGGCACCCAGATGATGGAATAGAGCCTTACTCTGCTAGAAACTGTCTAAACAGAGGATTAGAAATCAGTCCCTGCCTCAAAGGACCTTCACTGTAACTACAACAGAAAGCTGCTGATGCATTGAAAGGCAGCCCCAACACCACTCGTCCTCAGAGGCTGAGCAGCCACAAACCTCATCCCTGTAGGATGTTAGTTTTGTTACTTCTCCTTCAGCACCAGTCTGTCTTCCCTTCGCATCTCCTGACGTGATTTTCTTCTGTGATCATATCCCTTCTATTCCGATCACATTGTGGAAAAAGTGTTAATTTCCTTCTTTTAATTGGGTTGATAAAGTCTTTTGTCTAACAAATCTTTTGCAGTATGCTAGCATTAGATTTTGTTGCTGCGTGTGACGTTCTCAGTATTCTAACTTCAGTACATTGTGAGCAGCTCCAGCCTCTCAACTTCTCTCTTTCTCAAGGTTTTTACTTTGGTGGCTCTTCCTGACATGGATAATGCATTCTTTTGTTAGTAGAAGCTGAGCTTGGAGAAAAGCACTCCTTTTTATGCACGAGCACCAAGAGCTAATCTTTGTTATTAATTACACTGAGATAAGCTGTGCCCCTGCGGATTGATGCTCTTCATCTGAATGTGGGAGATACTTTTGGTGACTTCTCTTGGCCCAGTGATGTCCAAAACAAGTCCACCTTCATCTGTTAACTCTGCCTGTTCTGAGAAAGCCTTTTTTGGATGGCTTTTTTTGTTGGTTTTCTTGTGTCTCTCGCTTTAACAGTGAAGTTATTGCAAACCATCAAAACCTGCCTTGAAAGAGAAGAGGTTTGGACTAAGACCTGAAATTATTCATAAAAATATTCTGCTTCCTCTTTTGAATTTTATTTGGGCATAAACCTGAACCATTTAAATTCATGAGTTGCAGCAAACTTTGCAGGCGATAACACGCCATTTCCTGGAGTAGAGCCAGGAATTCATTGAGCAGTGTTCTTTTTTTTTTCCCCTCCATCCACATGATCTCTTCAGAGCAATCATCTTTCTTTCCGGTGAAGCATGCAACTGAGCAACGTACCAAAATAGTAAGGAGGCCACCAAACGTTCAGACTTTTCACCACGTAGCCCCATGTCTGTTGTTGCAGCTCTTTCACAGGATGGCATTTCGATGTCCAGGAGAATCCTTTCTTTTCAGCACCATTGGATTTCCATACATCTGCACAACATCTAGCAGAATTCCCAGTTAATGCTGGATTTGACTCGTCTGCATCCTCAAGATGCTTTCCAGAAACCCTACGATTTCTCTGCTGTCTTTCTGGGTTTTCTCACTCCTCTTCACTTTGCTGTCAGAAGAGGGAGAGGATGAGGCTCACATCTGTCTGCTCCGGTTTAAGCATGGAGAGCAACCTGATGGGAAACAGCCAAAGAAATCTGCACTAGTAGATGTGTGCATTGGCACTGACATTCTCCTAGGTGAATGTGAGGATGCACAAGCATCTTCTATCCTGTTTTAAAGTCTTCCTCTTGAGAGCATCCAAATCATGGCATTTTGTTCTATATTGGTTTCAGAATATCGACACGTTCTCTGAGATCCTGTTTCAGATGTTTTGTTTTGAGGTCCTGTCTGTATTCCAGCAGGATGACGTTTTTGTCAGAGAATATAAGGTGTTCAGGAGTCAGTGATGGCAACAGAAAGCAACGTTCACCTACGTCATCACCTACATTCAGCATTTCTTTTGTGGGCTTCATAACCATCCAGCTTTACTCCACGGCGAAGGTGGGATGAAGTCTCTCCATCTGTTAACCAACTTGCTACTTCTCAATGGTCTTGTTTTCATTTATGTTCTTAAAATCAACTTCCTGAGATTAAGTCATGGGCACCTTGTTTTCTCTTGACACTGGGAGATCCTGTAAAGGAGAAGTTGGGATGCATTATGAGCTCAGGATGAGAGAAACCATTGTGGTGACTTTAATGGTGCCAGGAGGTAGTAGGAGTTCAACTGGTCTCTGATTATTCCACTGTGTAACTTTTTATGGTAATAGAATGGAGTATAACGTCAAATTAAATGAAAACCAAAATGGGGCTTAATTAAAAAAATCAACAGTCAAATCTCTACATTTTTTTCCTTTTTTCTTTTTTCTTTTTTTTTCTGATGTTCTACTGCAGGAGGTTGGGAGAATGCCTGCTTTCCCAGAGCACTCTAGTTACAGGATAGCATATGGGCTGCGAGTGAGTGGTGGCATTTATTTACAATTACAGTTTTATAGATGTGCTGTGGTTTGGTCCCTTTTCCTGTTGCAGTGTACAGTAGATTCTGTACTGTTTTGTTGTTTATTTGTAGTCACTTGAATGAACATGGGGAAAAATGAGAGCTACGATTTGAAGAAAAATAATGGTATATAAAGTAATGAGATTGTTCCAAAGCTTAATTAGATGGAGCAGATTGAATACATTACAGTGATGTCTTGAGGCAACATAATTAAATTGGAAGCATAATCCTCCCTGTATTGGAACTGATTTTATCTTGGTAGGACGAGGAGCATCAGCGAGCTCTTCCTGCTGGTACGTTGCTGATCCTTCCGGGAAGAGTTTTGGACCTCAGAGCATTGTCAGACCTTAAAAGCACAAAACAAAACAGGACATAAATCTACAGACAGAATTGGTGGTGTTCTGGTTACAGGGATAACGTTGGATTCAATCTTAGTACGTGCTACAGCTCAGTAATTGAATCATAGATCTAAAACACGTCCGCAGCGTGTTATTGTGTGTGCTGAATTCATCTCGTTTATAAAATCTCTTAATGGAGTTGTTTCCAAATATATACAGTGACAAAGATTCTGGTGAATAATGCATGGAAGTGCAGTTCCTGAAATGCATCTCTGCATGTGCTGGGTACAAGTACAGGGGTGCATGTGAGATCTTCAGGTACAAAGAGCAATATTATGAAATGTATGTATGCATATATAGATATGTATATTTTTATGTATCTAGACACACAACCATATCTATGTATGCGTGTATATATCTTTTGCTTTTACATATTCATTGCTATTTAATAATTATTTCATTATCTACATTTTCTTTCATGCTTCTACCAGGAAAAAAAAAAAAAATAGAACGATCTTTCTGTTCATGTTTGGATACTTTTCTTCTCCTGCTGTTGGACAAATCTGATTTTACAGTACAGATGCATCCCAACCGTGTGACAATTAGTGCCTTGTTTTGTTAGTTTGGTATACGTGAATAATCTCTGCTCCCATCCTGATCTCGGTGTGAGGTTTGATTTCATTTGGGCAACCAAGCATTTAGCTAGAAGTTCTTTTCTTTTTTTCTCAGGACAGATCAGTAGGTATCTTACATTCAAATAAAAGTTCCAACTCCTTCTGCTGTTTTAATTTTATTTTATTTTTGTCAGCTTGTAGAAGACTAATTTTCTTATTTGCATCCAGTAGTGCCAGTCTCTTCTTAAAGATTGCATTTGGGGAAAAGGAAAGAAAGGTTACACGTGTCATGATTGGTCTTCATCGTTTCTAGAGCTTTAAGGGACATAAATCTGTATCACAGCCTGCTCCCAAGACAAGCTCATTTGTCTGGGCATTAGCTGGCAGTTCCATAGCATAAATTTAAAGTTTTCAGGAGGAATCTAATGTTTATTTTGAAAATGGAGATTAGAATACCAGAGAATAATATGTTTACTTGTCAGCACCATGAATATGTAGTGACCTACTTATACTGTACCATTTGGTTTTATTTTTAAAGCTTGTCAAGCCGACTCCTATTGCAATTTAACAAGCAACCTTTTTAGAGGAGCAATAAACTGTACTGGGTATTAAATTAACATTTTAGAAGTAGAACATTGCACAACATTTTGAAGACTGTCCTTCAACAGCTTTTTAATGTGTTTTTGTTCCGTAAGTAAAACAGTGTCTGTCTCATGTGTTTGAAAACACGTTTTGCTTCACCTGCAAGTTAAAATAGAGCCAGTTTCAGTTCTGGTGAGCTGCAGCATTCAGATGCTGTCACTTTAAAGGGAGGGGGGGAAAAAGAAACAACTTCATTTTTCCTCTAATAAACTGAATGTTTAATGATCTCCTGATTATCATGAGATATTTTAAAGACAAGTGATTTTTATCCAAAACATCCCTTATGTTTCTTCACCCCGCGTCTGCGAATTTGCTTGATTAATTTTGAGAACATCTGCATATAATTCCGTGCGCTCAACAGTGGTGAGATCACACTGCTTTTCAAGTAACAGCTACAAATCTCACTTCCCAGACAGACTCCCATTTTTGTCTAATTGGAATGCCAAACGTACAAAGGTGCCAGCGAAGAGTGTGTAATTATGTAATTTTCTCTTGATCTTTCAGAGTCTTCCTGCGAGCAATTAATCAGTATGCAGATATGCTAAACAAAAAATTTCTTGATCAAGCCAACTTTGAGTTGCAGGTAAGAAAAAAATTATCAAAATACCAAACAGCGTCTTGGGATGTAATGTGAATAGTGTAATAAACTTCTGTCCCAAACAACTAGAACTAATAAAGCTGGGAAAGACCTGTGTGATCCCCAAGTCCAGCTGCCAGCCCATCCCCACCATGCCCAGTGTCCATGTCCCCATGTGCCACACGATTTTGTTGTCTGTGTTTTGACTGTGAACCCTGGAATCCCAGTTAGCCCATTCAGTTGTCCTGTCCTCAGCATTTACACTCCACTGTCATTCTCTGCTTACAACAGCACCAAGTCTTATCCCACAGTACCATACTGAACTCCTCATTTCCCTCTGGTTGTGCAAAAAGGGAAAAGGACCCTTTCCAGACAAGTCATAGAAACACAGAATGAGCTGGGTTAAAAAGGACCACAATGATCACCTGGTTCAACCCCCTGCTGTGTGCAGGTCACCAACCAGCAGCCCAGGCTGCCCAGAGCCACATCCAGCCAGGCCTTGAATGCCTGCAGGGATGGGGCATCCACAGCCTCCTTGGGCAACCTGTTCCAGTGCCTCACCACCCTCTGGCTGAAAAACTTCCTCCTAATATCCAACCCAAACCTCCCCTGTCTCAGTTTAAAACCGTTCTCCCTTGTCCTATCACTCTCAACCCATGTAAAGAGCCATTAACAGGTGCTTTGCTAGAGCTGTTGACTCGAATGTGGGGTCTGAGTGTAAATCCTTTTCTATCTTTTCCCCATATTTATGTGTTCATATTTTATTTTACTCGTATAGCCAAATGCAGTCGATCAGGATTTGTAGATGGGAGATGTTTCATGGGAAGATGAACGCAGCGAGGGGATGTACTAAATACATCAAGAAACAATGCCTGTGTAGTGTCTGTTATTTTCACCTTTAAATATTTATGTGAATGACTTCGATTCTTCTAAGGTGTTTTGTGGATGTGCAGAGAAACATTTCAGAGAATTAATGGTACCTGTTCTTGTCGTTCTGGGTCCTTTCAGCTTTGGAACAACTACTTCCACCTCGCCGTTGCTTTTCTCACGCAAGAGTCCTTGCAACTGGAGAATTTTTCAAGTGCTAAGAGAGCAAAAATACTTAACAAGTAAGTCCTATTCGTCATCTAAATTGTGGACAAGAACTTGAGGTTTGTTAACATAATTTTAGTTTAATTTCTTAGCTAAATCTATTCAAATTGAGACACAATCATGGTATAATGAAAGGTTGGTTTTTAAAAACATGAATCAAGCCTTGCGTGTGTTTCTACCCTTGAATCAAGATCTAAATTACATGATTCATTACTGATGAAGACAGTATTTTATACTGCGGGATATTCATGAAGTCAAGACTTCTCAGAAGTATTAACATATTACAAGGCTGCATTTTTAAATCACTTCAGCTTTGTGATCGTTCTCATTCTGTGAGCACTCTTTATTGCTTAATGCCTGACAGCCTGTTAGGGTGAATTTCCCCAACTGCAGCCCATATCCCTGTGTTATCCCTAAGGACTGGCTTTGTAGAGCTGTAGCCGTGTCGCTCCCCTACCTATAGAAGGAGTTGCATTGCCTTCCTCTGACTGGGCAGCTCAAGCTGTGTGATTTTACTTCAGAACCCCACAGCAAATGAAAGGAAAGAAGAAACACTGCAATGTGAATGTTTTCGTGTGTGCATTTCTCCCCAAATTTCTTCAGGCTCCCAGTGCAGAGGACCCTTATCCTTGACTGAGCGCTGAAGAAGCTGGTTGAATATTTTGAGTCTGTATGTGCAGGTTCACTTTCGGTGCTGTGGTGCCTGTAAAGAATGCCTGCAAAAGCAGTTTGTTTCCATATTGAGTCGGGTTTCCACAGTTAATGCAGTTTCAGAGCTCCGAGTCCCTGAGCAAGCCTCTTCTATGTGTAATATATATTCTATCTATAGAGAGATACGGTGTATTTTGTATTACTGAACTGGAGCCTTTTTGTGTGTTACTGTGATGTGAGATACTGCAGTGAGAATGGGAAGAGTTTCACACTGCTGCAGTGTGATGCGATTGTAAGGGTTTTGCTGGAAGTGGCAGCACCATGTGGGCTGCACTCTTTGACCAAAAAGCAGAGGGCTCTCTTTTTTTCTTTCTATTTTCTTTTTTTTCCCCCAGCAGCTGAGTTTTGCCCTTCAGACTCATCCACTCCATCCTGAGTTTGGAGCTGTTTCCTTTGGAAGCTGTGATTTACCACAGTGTTAAAACAGAATTTTTCAGCACTGTGTGATCTATCATATCGTATATGGCTCTGGGCAGCCTGGTCTGGTGGTTGGCGACCATGCACACATAGCTTGGGGTTGAAACTGGATGGGCATCGTGGTCCTTTTCATCCCAGGCCGTTCTATGATTCGATACGTACGCATGACTCGTGGGGCTGCTGTGATGAGACAGAAATATTTAAAAGTTTGGTGGAAAAGTGATCTCAAATAGAGCTTGGGGTTTTGCAGTAGTGATACAAATATCACAAACAGCATAAAAGCCACTGACTTGCATGGAGAAATCAAGGTGCTTTTGTTCAGTGACATAAATCCCATTTTATTAGAGCTGGAATGCATGAGCCATGTTTTTGCACAAGATGAGATCAGTGGTAAAAACTCTTCAATAAATGCAAAGGACACTGACAGAAGTCAAAGTGCTGCAGTCCCAACCAGGTGGAAAGCAGAGGGATTGAGCTCAGCAGCTCTGGGTCCAAATTCTCTTCCCTTCTCCTCTGAGCAGAGCTGGGGTGTGCCCACCCAATGGGGCTCCTATTGATTGGGCTCCTGATCTGAGCAAAAACCAATGCCAGAAAGCTGGAAATGCCAGGTGGGACTGGAAATGCCCCTAGAATACATCTGGAGACTGATTTTCCTCTTTGTGAGAATAAGATCCTTGGATGGAAATGTTCGGAAGTGATTCTGATATTAAGTGGGGCAGCATATTTCACTGACGAAATCTGAGAGATCAACAAACGTTACTCACTACTGAGATAAGTAAACAGACTAAGTCATTTGAAGTGGATACTTAATGAAGTTTGCTAAATTGTAAATCTCTGCTTATAATGATTTTGCGAGTTGTTATTTTCAGTTTAATCGTGTTTGGGGGACGAAAACCAAGACAGTAAATTCTTCAGATGCAGTAAGTGGTTGAAAGCACTAACTTTTATTGCTGTGGGGAAACAACTATCAGTTCTATGCCAAAGGGATATAAATAATCACTTCATTCAATTTCACTCGCCCTCTTTTCTAAGTACATATTTCAATGTGCTAAATATTCAATAATTAAAATTTAATTATTGTAATCTGCAGTTTTTTTACTAAATGTTGGATTGAAACGTTAGGTAATTGCAGACTGAATGATAAAGAGAAATATCATTAATCCTTATAATGACAGGGTATCTCACTGTTATCCCACACAAACTCCACAAGTTGCCAGACACAACCGTTTGCTCATCCTGTGGTTTAATTAATGGTCTTCAGTAAATAATCTGTGTAGCAAGCGGGTTGTTGGAGCTCCTTACATGGGCTTGGAGGATGGTTATGGTGCTGGTCTCGTAATGCATGAAGTCAGTAGGCTATTTTGTGTTCATTAAGCTTTCCTGGCATCAACGCTGTGATGGAGGGCATGTGGCACAGGTGGCACCAGAGCTGAACAGGAGACATTGGGCCTCCAGGCAAAGGAGCATCCGTGTTGCTTCGGCCCAGCACCCCACATCCCCATGATGTGCAACACAAAAGCTCTTCCTTTATGATTTCACACAAGATGTCACTCGGCGCTCCTGGTTTTATTTTCTAGGACAACGTTATGCTAAGAATGTGTATAAAAATAAAACAGAGCCTTAGGCCGTGCAGCTCTCTGCCGTGCTTCCTCCAGCCATCGCTGTTTGGAAAGTAGGAAACGCTCACAATTAATCTCTGCAAACACCCACGTGTCCCAGAGGATGGTTAGGTAATCCAAAAACAGAGGTTTGCCCAGGTGAATGTTTGTGTTCTCCCTTCAGTAAGTAGAAATTCGTTCCATAAATGGAAACTTGATGATCTCTGAGAGACAGCACGGAGTGCAGGGCGAGCTGCAGCCTTTGGGGCTGCATCTCTTGGGGCATCCCAAGAGCAAGTCTGCCTCTCCCTTTGGCCCCACTTGAATTCTGCAGAGATCAGTGCATGAAGGTGTGTGGCAGAGCTGGGGGAGCGAGGAAGTGTCACTGATAAAAGTCACACCTGGAGGATTTCATAGAATCATCACAGAATCATCGAATGCCCTGGGTTGAAAAGGACCTCAAAGATCAGTCTAGTTTCAACCCCCCTGCACAGATTGACCTCTGCTTTCAGACATTTTTGAACATTGGTCAGATTTTCAAACCAAATTTGTCTGCTTATTGATGTGTCATGTATCTCTGCTTATTGGTATGTCATGTTTTTTGTTCTCTCTTTAAGGTATGGTGATATGAGAAGGCAGATTGGTTTTGAAATCAGGGACATGTGGTACAATCTGGGTAAGTAGCATGAACGCCTGTTGCTCAATGCTTTCAGCCAGTGTTTGTTTAATGGAGGTTCAGATGAAACAAGGCTACTTTCTCCTGAAACAGGCACCTAGGAAGCAAGTGATGTAAGAAATAAAGCCTCCTCTGCATACTTAGTTCCCCATCTGAGAAGACACATAACTAGTCAGTGTTTATGTATCTTCATTTTCGTTTTGTGGCGTTCAACCTCATTTTAAACAGAAACAATTATAGTGAGGGCTTTTGCTCTTTTTTTCAATAAATACATGGATATAAAAATATGCATATGGACACATACACTTAGATCCATTGCATTGTAGCAAAATGTAGATATCTGAGGGCTGCCAGTAGCTTTGCCTGGAAATTCAGCTTGAAGTCTGATTTTCAGTCTTGTTTGACTGTATCTGAATGACTCAGGGTGATCAGCAAAGAGTGGGAAGCTGGACATCCTCAGTTTGTGGGTAAATTAGGCACACCTTTCTCAACTCCAGGTATGTTTTGTGGGTATAATTTAGCTATACAGGGATTAAATTTTGTGAGCAATGGAGTATTTACTGCGAACTGAGTGTACTCATCTGCCAGATTTCATTTTCTTGGGCTTAACAGCAGAGACACTTCAGCTGTTCTGAGTTTTATCAAAAGTTCCTTAAGTTATCAGAAATAAATGCATTTGCCACTTGACTTATATCTCCAGCTGAACTGTTGTTGCTGAAGCTTGAAAAAATATATAAGCATATATAAAGGAAGGGGTTACCAAGGTTCACAATTATTTGATATCACAGAGGTATCATCCACTCTGCTGGAATGATGAAAAAAAGCCTTCCAAGAGCAGTTGAATTCACTTTTTATTAGAAGCATCTTTCACAAATCTGGAGAACAGATTAAAGCATAATGCGCAGCTGATGTGGGACTTGACAGGCAGGTAATGGTTCCAGCCCCAGAACAGATGCTGGGTCAGCCAGCTCAGGATGCTGGCAGCCTCCATGGTGGTTATTAGCTAAATCCTTCACTGCTTTATGCTTACAGTCACATATCCATCTGTTACTTTTCCTACTTTCTCTGGCATCTTTGAGTTTTTAAACCTGGTGTACTTTTCCTGCCATTTAGTAGACTGGAAGTGGAGGTGTTTGTACGTACGCATCTGGCTGTTCTAACACATGGCCATTGTATTCGACCTTGGATTGATATTCAGACTTGGACCAACAGTGGAGCACGTTGTGCTTTTTACTGCTGCCACTGACGCTGGCTGCTCTTGTGCATGCTATTCAGCTGCCTTTGAGTTCTGCTTTTCACCATTAACAGGGAGATGCTAACCAGTTCCACCGGTGTTTTGTGAATTGACTGCATAGAGGGGCAGTGTTTTCTTCAATCTTTGTGCTATCATGAAAGCCTTTGATAGAGTTTTAGATAGAATTTTGGTTTCTTCTTTTACAAACTGTTATTACTCAGGAAGATGACTCTGTGACCTCTTCTAGCTCTGATGTCTGTGCATTCCCTAAGCGACTGGGATCATTAATTCTGAAATTTTACATGTTGAGGGAGTTGGTAAATTGTTGCACTTCATAACAAAAGCTGCAGGAGAAGGGTAAATCAGAGCCAGGACCCCAGTCCAGCAAGGCCTTTGTACTTTTCATAATGAGAATCGTTCTTTTTCTCCACTTCTTTGTGATACAAATAGTCAGTGCTGATCATGTTTAACTTCTGGCTCTCCACCAATCTCATGTATGTCACAGCATCAATTAGGAAAGAATACTGACTTACCACTGCAGAGGAGTTGATTGTAGCGCGTTTGATGCTTTTATCTTAGAAGTTTCACTACATTAGTCAAATTCTTAATATGTATATGCTCAGAAACAAAATCCAAAGCAGAAAGCTATAATTCTTGCATAAGCTTGAGCGTATAATTTTTTATGACTACCTGCCGTTGTGTATAAGATTTGACAGAAACAAATAACTTTGGCTTTTGATTTATGTATTGGAGTGGGTAAGTCTCAAATTATCTCCTAACTTTTTGTTTAGAAATTTAGCACGTGATACTTGCAGAGTTAAAACTTTTCACCAGACAGACCTTTAGCTGTGACACACATTTAAAAGTATAACTTACTTTCTGAAATTAGATGGTAAAATACAAACTCTAGGAGGTTATTTTTTGCCTGCATATTTCTGGTGCAGTAGTGGTTGCATTAAAAAAAAAAAAGAAAGAAAAAGGACCATGTGTAGTAGAGTACAGCAATAGGTAACTGTGCATACACACTTTAAATAATGTAAGTTAGGAGTAAAGATTTTGTTTTAAACAGGGAGCCCTGTGTGAGAGATCCAGACTGACAGATTTTCGACATAAACCCTTGCTGTGTCTGTCCTGTCTGATACCTTGCTCGATTTGCTTACGAAGGCTTTAGGTTTGTGTGCTGTGATGCAGTAGCAGTGAGGATGGCTTTGGGGAGTGTAGTCCCAGCGTGCAGAGCCCCTGCTGTGCTTGCTTTCTGAAAGTGCTGTGAGGTTTTTATTTTCCTGCATGCATCAGTAGCAATGCATATTAGTATCTGTAGGCTTGTTTCCTTCCGAATCACAGCCTGAACTTTTAAAAATAATACATTATTTGGTGTCACTGCGTAGTTAGAACTGAGGCACCTTAGACCTGGATGAATATCGTGGGAGCACACAGAAGGCTGTCTTGATGTAAATGCAGGGAATCAAACAGCTGCACTGAAAAGCATTACGTAGTGCAGCTCAGCTATACAAAACAGAGTTTGATGCTGGGTCACGTATGCCAATTTCCAATGGTTAATGTTTTCAACAGGGGAATGATGAAAAAGCAACAAAAAAAAATTCCTGATGGTAGAGTCAATCGAGGAAAGACAGGTCAGAATCACCAAGGTTAGAAAAGACCTCCAAGATCATCCATTCAAACCAACCACCTGCCACCACTGTTTCCCACTAAATCACGTCCCTTAGTATAGAATCATAGAATCACCAAGGTTGGAAAAGACCTAAAAGCTCATCCAGTCCAACCATTCACCTATTCCCAAAAGCTCCCACTAAACCATGTCTCTCAAAACAACATCCAGTCTTTCCTTGCACACCCCCAGGGTCGGTGACTCCATTACCTCCCTGGGCAGTCCATTCCAGTACAGTATCTGTATGTTCCTTGAACATCTCCACGGTTGCTGACTCCTGGGCAGCCCATTACAGTGCCTGGTCACTCTTTTGTAGAAGAATTTTTTTCCTCGTGTCCAAGCTGAATCTCTCCTGGAGCAACTTGAAGCCGTTCCCTCACATTCTGTCTCTAGTTACATGGGAGCAATGGCCCACCCCCATCTCACTACAGTCTCCATGCAGGCATCACTCCATACAGAGTGATAAAGTCATCCCTGAGACTCCTCCAGACTAAACAATCCCTTCTCTCTCAGCCATTCCTAAGCCCTGTGCTCCAGACCCCTCACCAGAAAGCATTGCTTTTATTGAACCAGCGAGTGGAAGATAGAAGAGTGAAGGTCCTGAAGGTGAAGTAAACCTGTGGTGCTGTCATGCAGTGTCAGCCCTCCCTTCGCAGTCCTGATACCAAGAATGGACTGGGCGAAGATGTTAATGTTGTTGGAGGGAAGGCTGGGGTTAAAAGTAGACCTGAACTTTGAGCGTTGTATAAAAAGGAGTCATTGCAAATAACACTCTGAATTTGTTATATGTGTGCACAGCTGACCCAAGGCAGAGGTGAGGCTGCTGACAAATTGTTCAGTGGCCCAAAGGTAGATTAGAAGCTGGGAAATGAAAATCATGCTGATAAAGAAAGCACTGTGCATATTGGTTCACTCAGGTGAAGCTCAGTGCTGTTGGGTGAGCAGTCTACATAGAGAATGTTGTGGCAAGGCAGAAACCACTGTGGAAAGTTTTATACGTAGTCAGAATAAAAAATAATCCTGGTTTTGCATGCAGTTTTAAAAACAGATGTGCAGTTTGTCTTTTGGAAGAGAGGCTGCAGTTTTGTTCCAGATTTGTCATATATTAAATCCCTGTGTGGGATCTCCTACGCTTCAGGGGGGGCTGAAAAAGAAAAGGGAGAATTCATGGCTTGGTTGTTTGTCAGAAAGTGCTGTGCGTGACACGCAGCTGCAGTGGAGGCTCTCAGCATCCAGAGTAGGACCATGGCCTTTGGTTTGTGCTCTGATGCTGTGTGCATAACACTGCACAAGATCACATCATCCAGGCTTGCAGCATGGTGTCACTGCCTGCTGCTGCGTGCCCTGTTTAGACTCAGGTTTGTGTGAGGTGGAAAATCCCTTGGGCCTCAAGCACATGCTGTGGGTGCCTCAGCACACACTCTCCCTGGTCTCCATTCAGGTCATCCCTTCCTCGTTGAGGTGACGTGGTGCTCAGTTGTTTTGCTTTTGATGGGTAACTGTGCATTTCACTTCAGAAGAGGAAAAGGGGGAGTGGGAGATTTAAAAAAAAAAATGATAACAATCCTTTGCAAATTCTCCATTTTTCACGTCTCAATTTCAATTGTTGCTTTTCTGAGGGGAGGGGGGAGTCCCTGCACACGAAGCAGAGAAAAACAACTGTGATCCACAGAGAACCTTGGGACATTGAATGTGTGCCTGACGCATAATGACTTTTGTCATTATCATTTGTTTTCTGAAGTATCAGCTGTGACGTTTCCCAGGCATAATACAGGAAAACTGGCACCTGGGATGCTGAGTGTAATCCTGCTCGTAAGGAAGGCAGAGAGGGCTGCACTGCTTGTACTGCTGTTCCTGACCAGCAGCCAGCATTGGAGCATCACATGGCGTAGCGATTTTGGTTGAGCATTCCTTCACCCTAATAGCATTGTTAATGCTAATGGGATTCTGAAGTTCGCCAAATCAAGTAACATAAATTATACCTCTTTAAAAAAAAAATAAATAGCAGCGGCATGTTTTATCTTTAAAGGATTTTTTCTTGATTACATTTGCTCAGATTTATGTTACTTCTGGTCAGAAGTGAAGCTGCTAATTAAATACTTCAACGGTTACTGCTATGGCAGCGTAGTGCAATGGAATCTAAATGAATTGAGATGTGTTTGTGTTGTGTACCACTGATAAGCTGCAGTGAGAAACAAGAGTGTTAAAGCAGGGGGGGCTGAGGGCTCCTGCAGGCAGCCCAGCCCACCTGCAGCACTGAGGGCATAGAGGTGTTCTCAAAGCACTCTGTTGCCTGCAGCTATTAACCTCTTCTTTGCAAGAAACTTCACCCACTGAACCTTGAATGCCCTGCACTGTATGCAGACCAGTGTGAATTTCTATTCTTTTTTATTAGTAGCATTACAAAACCAAATGAGCTCCATAATCTTTCAGGTTCAGTGCAGTGCTGTAAGGTATTGGACTTCTAATGTCTTCCATACATTCCTTTGCACTTTGTGTTAGAATAAGCCTACTTCTGCTGCTCTGATTTGGGTAGTTGTCTGCCACAGCTGGGAGAAAACGAATGCCTGGAAGTGTTTATTTGGCTTTTACAAAGTCCTGGTTGGAATCTTTGTGTTTTCTGAACTTCCACCATTGAGTCCTGTGCCTACAACTTCCTGGGGCCCTCACACTGCCCAGCACAGGCATCTTTCCCTGGTGGAGCCGTGTTGATCATTTGCAGAATATGTAATCTCCGTCCTCTGCACCTCATGCAACAGAAGAACAGGAGCTACGTGTTCTTAACAAGTCCAGTATTTATTAGGCTTTGTGTTGCTGTTAAGGGTTCCTTTGTGCTCTGTGTGCAGAGCACGTAGCAGGGAGCACAGGGGGAGGCGTGTTTTTCTGTTGAGAAGATAAATATGAAATAAAGTTAGCCAGTCAGATCAACTCCTGGAGAAAGGAGGCATATTGTCAGCTTAGCTAAGATGTGGCTTCGTGTCTCGGGGCTGTGTAAGCATGCACTCATGGTGACATTTTGATAGAGTGACACAAGGAACATTTTGTACGCTGTGGAAGATACAGAAGCCTAAATAAGTTAATGCAAGCAATGCACCTTTTAGCTGCCTTCTATCTGTAAAGTATATTTAAAGGAAGCCCTGAAATTTAATACGTGTGCGAGTGAGATGATTTGTGGAAAACGCAGCAAGTTCCAGCCTGACTACTGGTTGAGCAACTTCATTGCTTGGGTTTATAATATCACATAGTTAACCTCTTGAGAAATAAATTGCAATACAAATTTCAGTCCAATCTTGAGAAATTGTCCAATCAAGTCCAATCTTGAGAAATACTGTCTTGCGCTTGAACTATATGACAATTTATGGTTATGGCTTTTAAAACAATTATCTCCTACCAAGTCAGTGGCCATTCATTAGCTCTGAAATGCATTTTTTTTTTTCTTCCCTTTAAAGGTCAGCATAAAATCAAGTTCATCCCAGAAATGGTGGGACCTATCTTGGAAATGACACTCATCCCCGAGACGGAGCTTCGAAAAGCTACGATCCCCATCTTCTTTGATATGATGCAGTGTGAATTTCATTCCACCAGAAGCTTCCAGATGGTAAGCAGTAAGCAACAACTATTTGAAGGCGTAAGATGGATTTAGCTGTTTGTTGACAAAAACATATGAATTTTTGTTGCTTTGCTATTTGTTTTGGAAGAAAAATGTAATTATGGATTTGTTTATTTTCTGTAACTCTGAATGGCTATAGAATTTTAATCTGAGGGTTTTAAATTCTCACTGAAGGCAAAATTTGCATGAGGTAAATTAAACCTTTCTTTACGATACATCAGGAGAGCAAAGACATCTGTCTTAAATTTTCACTGTGACTTAGGGAAGGAGTTTGCTTCTGAGTTGAGTTGGACAAAGAGAAGCCTGATAATGTGTAATGTGTACAAATTCATCATCTCTAGTATCTTGCAATTTTGATTCTATTACCGTATTTTTATTATTGCTTTGAAGAGGAAAAGAGGCTAACCAACCAGAGGCAGCATATCTTCCTGCTAGATAGTTAATGCAACATACAAACTGCAAGCGGAGTATTTTTATCCTATTCTATTTTGCATGCTGAAGGAAACCCTTGAATAAGCACACACTGATAGCTGAAGCTTTTGAGAGACAAGTATGATGAAGGAGAGTTTCTTGAGATTCGTCGTCTTTCCTTCTTTCCCTTGAAACTTGAACTTATAGATTGAGTGTAAAACTAGTTAAGTCAAGTAGTTTTGTAACATAAACCAGTACAGCTACTTTACACAGTGAAATTTCTGATCATTCAGGGTATGACTTTGAAAACTTTGCAATACAGTTTGACACGTCGCTTTGTTTTCCCCCCTTCTTTTGCCATTTTTCTTTCTTGGATGGGAAGTCTTATCTTTTTCTGTATTTTTTTAGTGAGCTGTTATTCATAACCAGCTCTTAATCTGTAGCCAAAATAAATGAATGCCTGCGTGAAGAGATTTAAACATGGGGAAATTGCATCAGCTTTATTACTTTGATTTGTTTTGCGCTGGATGCTGTATGGAAAGGTTGTGAACTGTATTTTGGATCCATCCAATTACTGCATAATCATTCTTTCTTATGTTTGACTCTGATGGTACTGTAAAGATTGAAATGCTCGCTGGGATGCCATTTAAACTGTTTCCTGTCAGACGCTCTCTTTGTTACTTGTCGTTTTTTATTTGTACAATTATATGGATCATGAATAATCTGAGGGTAACTTTATAGCTAAATTTATGGCCCTGTGTTTTCTTGATGGAGGAAAACCAGCTCCGTGTGGAATATTTAGGTGATTTTAAGAAATGAGCATCTTAAATGTTTCTCACAATTGTTTTTGCCTTTTGAGAAGAAAAATATCTGGTGCTAAAGTCAGGTATGTCCTGGACTGCAGATAGTCAACACGTATTTCTTGTGTCAGTACTGCTGCTTTCTTTATGGATGTAACACTGTGACAGGTACAGCGGTAGTAAACCTTTTTTTATTGCATTTGGAGTGAACCGTTAGGTCAAATGATATAAGCAATCCATCCATTTATAATTTTGCAGATAATGTAGTTATATGCGTGCTGGGGCTCTGAGGTGGGTGTTCGGGGCACGAAGGTCACCAGCAATTTCCTTAGTCCTCAGGGTTGCACCCTTTCAGCTCTCACAGACTTGCATACGTCCAGTTTCTGCAGACAGTCATCCCTGGTGCACTGTCACTGGGTCACCATTTACTTCCTCATTGCTTCTCCAAACAAGGAGAGGGGAGCTGGCCTTACCTGTGAGGCAGAGAAGCCATTTGGTCCTCCAGAATTCTCATCAGGTGTAACTTGTCAGCCCCGTTCAGCATCAGACCTTGTCTGACATCTGAGCCATCTGCGTGCAGCCAGCAGAGGATGTGTTCAAAATGCCACATAAACCCCATGTCTGCCTGCTAAGAGATTCCTTGTATCATCCCGTTACAGACCCTGGTAAGGCTTAGTGCTAAAGGTTGGGAACTGTGAGCATCACAGGCCGGTGTCAATCCAAGTTGGCTGCAGCCATATGGAGGTAGAGGTATGACTGGAATTGATCCAAAGAACCAAACAAATGCAATTCCCCTCAGCTTCCCGTACTCTGACTGTTTCATTTGTCTTTCAGACAATAACTTGTTTATCAACAGTAGTGTTTGATGTTTTCTAAATGATGGAAATAGATATAAAATTGAAATATTACCAGTACCTAGGCAAGTTTCCATACTGAATCTGCCAATGTAACATATAGCATTTTGGTATGTACGTGCAACTACCAACTATTACTGCCTAGTCTTGCTTTTAAAGAGAAGTTCAAAACCGAATGGTTGGCTGCTGTTAAACTAATCTGCCAGAAATCCAATTATCTAACCTTATTAGTCACATCAGCAAGGGTTGAAATTGGCTCCACTTCTCCAGCAGATGTGCAAACCTCATGATGTGTGTGGGAGGAATTTGCAGAACTTCTGTGATGCCGTGATGGCTTGTGTTTTGAACAGACAGCTTTCCCCATGGCTGCTTTAATTTCTGTATGAATTGGTAAAACCAGTAACAGGCAGAGTGGGGATTTTGCTCTTCCACTATATATAGCCCTGAGAAGAAGCAGAAGATAAATTCCCCTAAAATTAAAGGCTGACTGAATTAAAAGCTGGAGTTACCCATCTTTGTCCTATCCCTTTTATGGTGCATTGAAGCGTTATATAGGCTTCAAAGTAGCCTGTACCTCAAAGCATGAATCTGATACTAAAGTCTGTGTGAGACTGAAGCTTCCCCGTAGTAGAAAATGCCTCCTTCTCCACTCTGCTATTTCCCCTTTGCTTGTTTTACTGGTAAGCCCTTCAGATCAAAGGGAATATGTCAGAGCCACAGAAGCCATGAAGGAATGCTGCTTTGATTGCTCAAGGCCTGGTCAGGTGAGCGTGATGGATCCCGTGGTGACAGCAGGAGAGGAGGTTTGTCATGAAACAGTCATTCCACTGAAATGTGGGATTTGAAGCATTAAAAGCCCCAACCTCTTACTTTGGCAGCCTGTTCCTTCCATCTGTCACTTCCTCTAGTTCCATTTCTTAGGAACGTTCCGGTTTGTTTGCCTACCCTAAACTTTAACTTGCCTTTTATAAACCCGTGGCTGATTTAATTCTGCTTATTTTGAGCTCAGCCAGTTCATAGAGAGGTGCAAGTGTAGGATGTGGTACAAAGCATGCCGTGGAGAAAGCAGGAGGCAGAAGGAGATGCTTGTCTTTGGCAAAAGGAGGCACTGATAGGTTCTCCCTATCTCTTACTTAGCACTGCATCACGATATGATTCCTTTTCACTGTTCTGATGCATATCAATTAGTAGAAGTAATTATTTTAAGAGACAAAGATAAGTGATTTATAAGGTAAGGGATTAAGTCAGAAGTATTTCTCTAGCCTTCATTCTCCAACGTTATGACACGTCTCATCAAATAACGAAGAAGGAGCAGCCCTCACCTCCAAAATAACCCCCCCCCCCACTCTGCAGTAGTGAACATGCAGAAGTTACAAGTCCCATATGTCTGGTTTTCAGGCTGAGCAGCATTATTAAGGAGGATTGTCAAAGTGTCCAGTGGTGTTAGCATCAGAGTTATAAGCATGCAAGATACAGCTTGTGTTCTTATGCTGTGAGAATAAGGAGCTGTGTAAAAGTAATGGTCTGAGGAAAGAGCCCCAAAACCAGAACAACACATCTGTTCCATTTTATACAAATTGGAAAGCCACTTAGCATAATAGAGCCATTGCCAAAAAGATAGAAAAATGATAGAGAAATGCATAATGAATGAATGCATAATGCAAAATCATATAGAAATGCATAATCAATGAATGCATAATACAGATGATTGCTAAAATAAAACTATGGCTGCATCTAAAGTACCTCGAGCTAATGTTCTGTTGTAAAGAGAATTAAATGAGGGAAGATGGGAAGAAATGAGGGGAAAACCCTTTTAATTCATTTCCAGCATTTAACAATAAATCCTAGTGTCATCGAGGCAGTGATACCAGCATTTTAATTTGCTCTGTAATTTCTTGTTGGTTATCAGTGAGTTTCAAACTGATATAATTCTTCTTAGTTAGCTGATTTACTTGAGTATCTATCACGTTTTACAACCTATAATTCCATTTTAGGTCTTTTTTACCTGCTCTGAACCCTGTGTTAACCTCCCCCTCCATGCTATGGATTTGAACACAGAACAGAAGTGGTTGAAGTGTAAATGTTTAAGTTTTATTTATTTTCTGGTCTTTCAGGATATTGGTATTCTTCCCTCACCTAAGAGGAAGGGAAAAATCTGATGCAGTGAGTCCAGAAACATCCCAAATCTCTTCATATTAAATGGCCACTGGACCTGTTTGCTGACCAGGATGCTCTGGGAAAATAGGAAATGGAAGATAAAACTGCTAGGAATTGTCACAACCTTTGTAGTGGCCTTCTAACAAAGTTTCACAGGATCTTTGTGTTATTTCTGCATTAGTGGTGTTTATCTGCCCTTTGAATTTTATATAGCAAATTCATTATTATCCCATATCTAAACAAATGTATAGCAGCTTGGAGGATTGAAAGACATCCTCATCCACAGCTAGATTAAATTGTCAGCCAGTGCTGCAGTTATGGCCTGCCCACACTGTAGGTAAACCTAAACCCAAAGTGATCAGTTGAGCAGACACTTGAAGATGCTTGATAGCTTACGTTGATTTGTAACCACTGCTTCCTCAGTGTTAGAGACTGTAACAGACAGATGAAACAGTGGATATACTCTATGCTAAAGTTCATGCACACATCCTAAAGGGAAGCTGAGATCTCGATCAGCTTCAAGGATAAGTTGATTAATAATTTCCTGTAATCTTCCTAGCATCACCCCTCGAGCTTTCGCTGCCAACAGATAGATATGAATCTAGCTCATCACTAGTGCCAGAGATATCTCCTAGGTCTCCAGAAGGAACCTCAGCAAGTGTCACTGGCTGTAACAGGAACAGTGAAATTATGGTGCTTCAGGTTGCCCAAGGAGGCTGTGGATGCCCCATCCCTGCAGGCATTCAAGGCCAGGCTGGATGTGGCTCTGGGCAGCCTGGGCTGCTGGTTGGCGACCTGCACACAGCAGGGGGTTGGAACTGGATGAGCATTGTGCTCCTTTGCAACCCAGGCCATTCTGTGATTCACGTGAGAGTAAATTCCTTTGTTATAATTGCAGTCCTACCTTGTGTTATTTTATATGCTTATAAGTTTAAAGAAAGAAAAGGGAAGTTGGAGATATTTTCATCTTATGCCCGATGCAGCATCCCACAGCCATGTGCTCACGTGACTCTATGGCCCCTTTCTTTTCCTTTTGTGCAAGGCCATAGCTGTAAGAACCATGGAGGGAAGAAGGAATCCGGATTGTGTTAAGCAATGCTTAGTCATCTGGGTTGAGTGATCTGAGCCACATCATCTCCTTGATAGGTGTGAGGAATGATCACAGAGCAAGGGATGCTGTTAATGGTTCATTCCCTTAAAAACCTCAAAATGCCACAGCTCGGTTCAACCCAAGAGGCAACCAACAAAGCCCAGACCTACAGAGATTTGAGTAAAATTGATATCAGAAGAATAGTCATGGTCCTGTGTGACAAATGTAATTGCTCTTCTTCATATGACTAATCTCTTCCTAAAAAATGCATCACCTACAGGGCTCCTGCTGGCAGCAAGTGTCATTTTTCACATTGGTATGGAAAGTCAATTTCATTCTGGTCTCATTAGAGAACATGAATTTTGTGACTTCTCTGTTTCATCACCACGTTGCCTCACTGTTTTATTTGACACATCCTTTTACTGTGGGAATGCGTTTCAGCTTGGGGTTGCCTCTTAGAGGAGGTGGATTGCATTATTCTTCCTTTTCTCATTTCCCTGTCATTTTTTGAATTATGGATTCGTGGTATTAATAACCTTATTTCACTTCACTTTCCATTCGTTCCTTCACAAATAAAGTAGTGCAACAGTGGAACAGGTTACCCAGAGAGGCTGTGTAATCAGCCATCCAAGGAGATCTTCAGGACTTGGCTGAGTTACAGTTGGCCTGCTCTGTGTTGGAAATGATTTTGCATCACCTGGGAGTTTGGACTAAATGACCTTTGAGATCTGTTCCAGTCAGCGTTCCTGTGAGTTTTTTGTGGATGATTTGGGGGCTTATAGAGAGCACCGTTATTTCATCAGAGGTTTTGGTTTTTCATCTCCAAAACAGTCAAGTGTAATAGTAAAAATTGTTTAAGGTAGAATATCTGTTGTTTGGGTACTTAGTTGATTTTTATCTCCATATGCAGCACACAATCTCTAGGTAGGATTTTCCTGTCAGCTCACAGTTAGGCTGAATTCTGCACGTTGTTAGCCTGTATCCCAAATTTGCACTGAGCAGTAGGTGAGCAGGACGTTTTCTGCAGTTACTCATCATGATAGCTCACAGTCACTGAACTCACAGTTCAGTGTTTTTTATTTCTCACAGCAGAGTTTTTTATTTCTCTGTTCTTAAGACAATTCTGGCAGACTGCCGTGTGGAATGGAAAAATAACTCCAATGCAGAGGATGAAAACTCTGGGCTGGGCTGTGAAGATAGGAGGCTCTGAACGTTGGTGAAGATGATGATGAGAAAACTGTGGAGGGTTTGAAATGGAGACAAGTGCCCTGATGTGCCTGTGGGTTTTCACAGTACAGTAATAGTACCCAAATTACTATAGAGCCTGGTAAGGTATTCAGAGAGTGACTTGTGTTTTGCAGTTCTTTGGTGTAATGTAAACAGACAAGCTCTATATACCAGTGCACAGTTCTGCCTAAAAGTGATTTATATTAACCAGCCAGGAGCATCTTCATAGTTGATAGCCACATTTTGTACGCAGTCTCAGCTTGGCCAGAGAATGCATGTTCCCATGTTCCCAGCTGCTGGGCCTCGAGCAGAGCAGGGCCCTGCAGGAGGGCAGTTGAGCACCTCCAGCCCTGGGGTGAGATGCTGCTCCTCAGCCCCTGTGCTGCTGGCTTTGTCTTGTTCTGCTCACAGTTACCTCGCCGTGTGCATGCAGCAGTTGTTTCATGACCAAGGCACTGTGGCAGAGCTAAGGGCAAGTGTGTGCTTGATGTTTGACAGAGACATTATGATAACCTCTGCTGGCAGAGAAAGGGCTGCGTGGGCAGAGCGCAGGATGCGGCGTGTTGGCAGAAGGGCCGGCAGTGGACGGAGCTACACCTCCTCAAAGTGACATAAATTAAGGTGGTATAAAAATGCTCTCTTGTCGTCAGAATTTCATCGTGACACAAGTCTGTTGGCAAGGGATGTGTGATCTCACGCTCCTTGCTGAAATAAAGACGCCAGCAGAACTTTGCATTGTGGGCAAGAAAAATGCGGCATCTCTAAAACCAAATCAAACCCAGCTGCTGGCTGCAGATAACAGCCCATCTTCTCCAACTTCCCTTGTTGCTGACCCTATGAAAATACCCATCCCCTGCTGTCTCTCCTGCCCTTTGGTTGCTGTGTGTGCAGTGGCCAGGGCAGCAGCACCCTGGGGTTCCACAGTTGTCACCCTGCTTGGCACATTATGGCTAGGATCGGGGCTCAGGCTCTCTCCCTCTGCACTGCCAGCTGGGGCACTTTGGGGCAGTAGTCCGTTCCCTAGTGTCAGTTACCAGCCCTCTGCAGACTGCTGGGCTGGCAGGATGCTCCACAGAGATTTTTCCTCTTGGTACATGGGTTTTGATTTTATCTTTCAGCATAGATTTTAGCTAAATCTTCAGCACGTGACTTCCATTGCACAGCTTCTTGAAGCTGTGCTTGTTGCTTCCTTGCTGGTGTCCCTGGTGAAAGAAAAGTCAAATTTTACCTTCAGACGTGCAGCAGAAGCCTCTGTTCTCACTTACAGAAAGCCCATTCTGATAGGCAGTGGAAAGTGGCTTTAGCAGAGGAGCTAGGGTTCTTGTCACTACAAAGCAGGTGTCCTATGAGATGGGAACAGTTTATAAAGAGCAAGAAATGCTGTTAGGGTACTGGGGACCTGTGGCACAGGGAAGGAAAGCTAATGGCTGGAGATGTGGTAATGCATCCCTAGCTTGGAAGGCTGTCGTACCAGGCAGTCTGTTCTGTTTTCATTTGCATATGATATACTGTTAATATTAACTGCAGATGCGAAGTACATCTCTTGACATTTACAAAATGTTAGTACACTTTGTTCTTGCACAGGTGGCCCTTTGCTTCTCCTCTGAATAGTCAGGTACTGCTGAATCAAGTGACAATGAAAAACCTGAAGCCAACAGCTCTGTCAATACATCCCTGCTCTGACTAATGGGGTCACAGTCACCTGCAGGAGGATCTTCTTTTCACCCTGGCTCTTGTGCTGAGGTTTCTTGGCAATAAGTTGAATCACTGCTGATGTCCATGCTTATTTAATGCAGAGATAGGAATTAGATGGCGAGGTTGACTTGTCACATGGCAGCAGACCTAGAGTGATCCTTCCTCTGCTCATGGTTTGAATTCATTCCTAATCTGAGCCCTAGCAAAAGAGCAGCAGCAGTAAAACCCTCTGTATTCATTAAAACTATGAATTACCCAGATTGCGTTTAAAATGTGTTCTAATGCCTGCTTAAGTTTGTGTTAATTCCCCAATCAAAATATTTACTCTCAAGTTGTTTGAAACAGATCCTTCCTGCTCTGCAGCGCCTTATTAATGGGTTTATTGAGTCATGCCATAGTAGGGTCAATACCTGTATGCTACAAAGAGATGGGATGTTAGCAGTGCTGGGGAGTTCAGTTGGCTGAGTGAGCCAACAGCCTGAGCAGCCTTTGGTGTTGTCTGTCATCTCTACTGGAGCTTTCACAGTTCCCTTATTTTGCCTTTGTTTCTGCTGTCATTATTGCAGGGGACATTGTGTCATATTTTTTTTTTCCTCCTTATTTCCCATCCCTTTATCCTTGTCATTAAGCTCCTTATTTGGTTTTACCTAATGCAAATATTTAAGCTTCATTTAACAACACGACCAATGATTTCTTCAACAAAAAATCCTTGTAGGGCAGCAGATCATCGTGGATGGTCTAATACCAGAGACTGCAAACTCTTAAAGTCAGTCAGGCTTTAAAACAGTGGCGAAACATCTCACCAAGATACCCAACCAATCTGTGAGCCATTGAGACTGCAGTCATAAAGTGAAATATTTGCCATCTGATTATTTACGCTTGCTTTGTTTAATTACAGTTTGAAAATGAGATCATCACAAAACTGGATCACGAAGTGGAAGGAGGCAGAGGAGATGAACAGTACAAAGTGTTATTTGACAAAATGTAAGTGTTGATCAGCGGCGAGATTTATGTCATGGTGAAGTCAGGAGAGAGGGCAATTAGACTACAATGAACTTTGCAGCCCAGGAATAATTAAAATCTCTTAATGGTGCGCAATATTTAAAATTGCACCTGAGTCAAGGTTTTTTCTATGTGTGTTTAACAAGGCGTGTGTAATGGGCTTTTTTTTAGCCTCTTGGAGCACTGCAGGAAGCACAAATACCTCGCTAAGAGCGGAGAGACTTTTGTCAAACTTGTTGTCCGCCTGATGGAGCGACTGTTGGACTACAGGACCATCATGCACGACGAGAACAAAGAGAACCGCATGAGCTGCACTGTCAACGTGCTGGTAAGCAGGAATCTCCTGCCTGAATCCATGACTTCAGTTGTGCACCCTTGGCAAAATACTTTGTTTAACATAGAATCCATGTGAAGATTTTCATTCAAGTTTAGTTCTTTTTTCTCTTTCTTTTGTTTTTTTTTTTGTTTTTTTTTTTTTAATAAGAGCAAACCTGTGAAAACTGTGGGTGATGACTTGAACTGCTTTGAAGAAGGAGTGATTCAGGATCTTGTCTCTGAGGGGTTGTTCGTTGATATTTACTGTTTGTGCATGAATGACTCTTATAGAAGAACCCTATAGAAGAACAAAAGAAGTGTGTGGTTTGCTGTTGAATGCGTGTATTTGCAGTCCTGTTTGTATTCTGCTCCTGTATTTGGAACTTCTGAACGATATTGAATCACAGAATCACAGAATGGCCTGGGTTGCAAAGTTCCAACCAGTTCCAACCCCCTGCTGTGTGCAGGTCACCAACCAGCAGCCCAGGCTGCCCAGAGCCACATCCAGCCTGGCCTTGAATGCCTGCAGGGATGGGGTATCCACAGCCTCCTTGGGCAACCTGTTCCCCTGCCTCACCGTGCTCTTAGTGAGAGTTATTAGTTCATGGGGAGCAGAAGCAGCTTGGTTTGTCCCTCATAGATACAAAATTTTCTTGTCTTCACTAGAGAAATTCTGCAGTGTCTGGTCTGCATTACAAACCTTGGTCTGTTCGGGTCAGAGCTGGAAGAGCAGGAGTTGGTTCATAGTAAGCTCCTCACGCTTGTTGCTGGAAACATTAGAGGATGAGATTATTACAGAATCAGCACATCCAGATAAACTGTGTTAAAGTTTAGAGACCTCTAACATACTGCTGGTTAGATTTGATGTTTTTTATTAGGACTCAGTAGTAAACTGCTAGCAATTAGGGAAACATAGCTACTATCCACATAACGTTATCAATGCATACTTCATTTCAATGTGTGGGGTGCAGACAGTGCTTATTGCCTAATGCACTGTGGCTGATAGATTTCATTCAGCTGGGCTGGAAAGATCTCAGTAAATAGTTTGTAGCTTTAGCACTTGGGAGTGCTGCAAATGGGCTCAGCTCATTCAGCACAGCCTTTGTGCTGCAGTGTCATGTAAGCTGTAAACGAAATGAGAGAGTATAGAGACATCAAGTCAGGGATTGGGATTTTATTTTTAGTTTGTTTTTCCTCGCTGTGCACATCAAAAAGCATCAGAATGTTTAGTAAATGGGGAAGGAGGGGAAACTCGGAGAGATGTCACCGGCTGTTGATGCAGTGAGTGCCCTTGGGCTGCTGCAGAAGGGCACCGTGTCCTCCTGATCAGAACTGGAGTTACAGAAACCTGCAGTTAGCACCAGGCAAGATAGAAAATAAAAAATCACACACTCTACATGCTCTGAAGCATGACAGCAATGTATAAAGCTAGGGAAATTTCCTAAGGAAGGTGAATGGATTCATCTTTCCTTTCATTCTAACGCTCTTGAGACTCTTCCAGTAATTCTTGCCATAGCAGCCACAGGGGACCTGATGGCACAGGCAGGGTTTGGTTTTGTTTTCTCTGTCTCCTGGTGGTGATTTTTGCCATCAAAATTCTTCAGGTGGTTGCAGGTGGTAGATCCTGTGGGTGATGTACTGCTGTCAAGTTAAATCACGGTGAGTTCCCCACACACAGCCCTGCCACCCAAGTCTGCAGGAAATGGATGAAAGCGTCACGGGGCAGAACTTCACTTAGTTTTCAGTAGGTATGATTTAAAACCTGAGGCTGATTTGAAAGTCCCGTTTGCCCTCCAGGGCCAATACAGTCTTTTCATCATTCTCCATGCACCTGAAGTGAAATTTATGCCTTTGCAAAATCTGACCCAGGGCCAACGCTCAGCGTAATTCCCACTTGAGGTCTCAAAAGAGTTCTTAATTGGGCCTTTAATAATACACAGGCTTTCACAGGATTAGGTTTGCCTGTATCGACTATAGCTTAAGTCAGAGGTTTTGATATGCATTTAAGCCAATGCTGATGTTAAAGCAAAATAAAAGCCCTCTCTTTCCCTTGGCTGCTTGTTCCTACCTCTGCCAGCCCTGGCAAAGTATGTGTGCAGCCAAAGGAGCGGGCAGGCTGCAGGAGGGATGGTGCTGGAAGCTCATTCTGACAACACAGAATAATAAACAGAATAGGAGAGGAGAATTTTCTGGGGAGTGTCATTCCATTTGCTTCAATTCGTCTTTTGAGTTCAACCCAAAACTAGAGAGTTGGCTCATCTGAAATTATATGTGCACTGAAAAACTGGTCCTTTGCAACTCGGCAGTGTAGATTCCATCACATTTTGGATCTCCTCGAAGGGGATGAGTTTGTATTGGGCTTATGCATGTGCTGTTGTTTGGCTCATAAATGTTCTACTGCCTGCTCACACTGGTTTAATTTAGCACTGAAACACACAGCAGTTCAGTGGAGGATATAAATTTCTTTGTAATTTGTTTTCTTAGATTTTTTTTTTACCTTTTGAAGGCAAACTTTAAATTAGATTCAGAAAAGCCTTTAATATCTTGCCCAATTTATCATATCCTGTATTTACAATATTTGTAGTGTTAACTAGTTTATCTCAAGACCAGAGGCACTCAGACATTTCTGAAGGGAATGATGAGAATGAAACCAGATAAATAACACTAATCTAACATTTTATTTCAAAGGAAACTATTAGAATCCAGGGGCAGGTGATGTATTGCTCAGCTAAGGTTTAGAATTTTAAATCTGTAGAACAACTGTTTCTTAAAAATCAGGGTTTTATATATTACAAAATTTCAACTGAAATGGAAAATGATGCGTGGCTTGCAAATGCCAGAAGCAAATATCTACTGGTAATACTCTTGCAAATTCTTAACCTTTGCAGTAAGATAGAAGCCCTAATGTGCTACATCACAAAACATCACCGTGTTGGATTTTGTAAGTTAAATAACTTGGGTTCTATCACTAGAGGCAGATTTTGTTTTGCAGTTTTGAGGTTGATGCCATCCAGTAATGAATTTTTAATTCATAACATGTTCCTTATGCATTTCTTACTGTGAAATCAAAGACTTTGTAACAATTTTTATTTTTATTTTTATTTTTTTTTTCAGAATTTCTACAAGGAAATTGAGAGAGAAGAAATGTACATAAGGTTTGTAAACATGACCAGTGACAAAAATCTGCTTGACTGAGTGTAGCAAAATTGGAGAAAATTAAAATCTTATTAAGCAGTCAGTTAGGAATGAAAGGAAAGATGTGATGCAAAAGCATCCCTTCTGTGGACCATAAGGATATTCAGAAGCTTGTCCTCACTGAGAACAGTGAGCGTTTGTAGTTAAATACATGAGATTGTTTTTTGTATCCCTCCTCCAACTTCTTCAGTTTTATTATGATGGGCACGTCAGCAGGCATGAATGTTATCACATGAGGAACAGAAGTAAGTCAAAAGAAAACCGACTGAAGAAACAATTTTCCTTCCTTTCCTTCCTAGTAAGGTAGAAAGTATGTGACTTGGGGTAAAATGGGCTATTAAATAATAATGATGACTGATACTTACTTTAAAGCTTTTAGGAATGCTTCAAAATCTATTCTCTCACACGAAGTGAAAATGGTAATATGTTGTTGTGCTTTTTGTAAACCTCAGGGTTCCTAGTCCTCTATTTGTACTTCGGCTTAAAATTGGCTAGACTGTTGTGCTGCAGTGATGAAGCTTCTCTTTGACTGCTATTTTAGGTAGCTGAGTATTATTCATGAATTCATTCTCAGATGCTTGTTATCTATTTGGAAGACTTTTCTCTAGTAAACTCACTTCCTATTGTTTAAATGGTTTTAATTATTGCTTTAATAAAGTGCAGAAACGAATAATATCTAACAAGAGGCAGGACTGGGAACTGGACATGCACCTAAAGGCACGAGTCTGTCGTGAGCAGCAAGTTGCCCTCCTTGGCAGAGATGTAAAGATAAGCTCTCACTGTGCATCTGCCACTCAAATTCTCTCATAATTCTGTTAACAAACTCCTATCAAAGACACATAAATAGTTTTAAATTCTTTTAAATTCTTTTTAAAAAGCTGACAAACAAATGAAGATAAACCCTTTGAGAGGTTTGATGATATAGAAGTTGAGGAATCAGACTTGTTTGTTTCTGTAACAGAGCAACTAGAGCAATGTCCTGTGTATGGAATTCATTGCTTTTCACAAGTCATTGGGAGAAAAGCTCAGTGGAAATGCAGGTGGTCCTGAGTGGTTCTGAACACAGAAATATGGGCACTGAGAAGTCATCCCAGGTGTACTGAGATGTTTAAAGACAGAGATGAACTGTTGTAGTCTCCAGAGCAAGTTATTTTGAATTAATTCGTAACATTTGATAGCCAACTTTTTGAAGAAGGAATGCTTTTATTACTTTCAGATACCTGTACAAACTGTGTGACCTGCACAAAGAATGTGATAACTATACAGAAGCTGCCTACACGTTGCTCCTGCATGCCAAACTTCTCAAGGTAAGCACTGACATTGCAAGGCTTGGAAATCACTCTAGCACTAACCAGCAGTAGTGTGTTTCTGTCACTCCTGCAACCAGCCCTTACAGTGATTAACATCTGTGTGCTGTTTCTTATTTCAGTTTAATGTTTTGCACATGTAATTAATTCCTCAACGTGCAGGAAGCAAACTCTGCCATTAGTGTATAAATATGTGTAAGTATAGATATGAATGGAAGCACAGTCAAGTAAAGACCACACATTAAAAACGGTAAAAGCTGTAATATAAATTTCCTTTACATATCAAAATTATGCAGTGTGTGGAGGCATTTGTTTCTTATGCCAACAGTGAGTGTTTTGTAAGCCTTAGGTATTATTACAGAAACTATGCTAATAGTAACCCCCTTTGTAGGGAAGTGTATCTTGTTCCATGCTGTGAATTGTTCTTAGCAATCTTTGATTTAATCTGAGCAATCTCAGGAAAACTGGTGGTGCAAAATGTCTGTTTTGAGAAGTTGAGAAGTGGAGGGCGTTAAATCAAGCACTTCTAAAGGATGTATGAGGAATTACTTGTGCCTCAAAACTGAGTAAACTGCATCCAAACTATGAGAAGATTTAAGTATGATGAGGGCATACTTGTGCAGTTTAAATTGAGACACTTTGAAATATATTTACTATGTTTTGAAATAAATAGAGCATTGTTACTCAGAGAGAATGAGTAAAATTGGTCTGGAGAGTAAAAGCACAGAAGCAGTAGCTTTATGCGTTATTAAAAGCAGGGACAATTGTTGGACACAGCCTACTGGATGCAGTTACTTCTTTGATAATGAAATATTATGGGCTGAGATGCATCTCAGAGGTGTGAGGAGCTGGGGGAAAGCTTTGGCATCTTCATTCATGCAGCCAGGTGTAGGTTCTCACCTGTGGGTAGAAGTTGGAGCGTGTAACTGACTGAGTCTGGGCAATAAAATGTCTCATGTTCCTACTGGAGACATACAACACAACTGCCAAGTTGTGTGATATTTGCTTATCAGGCATTGTAAGAGTGAGCCTCATAGAGAAGGTACAGCATTGCCTTTCCCACGTGCTGCATTTCTTGGAGAAATGATGAAATGAGTGGTGCCAAAAAAGTCATTCAGACTTTTACCCTTTATATCTTTGCCTCATTGGTCAATATGCTTTATGTGACTATGAATGAGAGCTTAGCCAATTTCGTTTTTTCTTACAGAAAATCTTCAGAGGCTGGATGAGTTACCTTAATATACTCTTTTAATTTACTTGAAAGAAATATCCAGTTTTATTTTATTATGATGTGAACCAATAGAAAATGGCAGATATAAGGGTAATCTTTATTGTAGGCTTTCATTGCTAAGCAGGTGTTTGTTTATGAATATGCTTCATAGGTTGGAAATACTGTACTGCAGAAGAGCATTGATCTGTCTCCTGTGACGTCGTGGTACAAGTTAGTGGGTGGAGGAGCTCAGTGCTACTGGAGTTACAGCCATATCATGCTGTGTGTAATTTCAAGCAGTTGAGCTATTCTTTCAAACCTCGAGGACAGGATTTTCAGTGACACTCATCATTCTCATATGTTACATCAGATTGATTTTAATGGGATCAGTCGTAGGTCAGGACTGAGAGCTTTGAAGAATTTCACCTGTAGGTTTGCAAGTACGCCGTTTTCTCATCATTTTCTCCAGGTTGCTGCGAGCCGATGATACAAACTTTGGAAAAGAGACTTTATGGCATAAAATAGTTTTAATTTTCAACCCCACAAACAAAAGATGGTGGCTCTTAGTCAACTGAAAAAAATGCCATTGCATTGGAGACTCACTGAAGTTTATCTCTTCCATAAACATGGGTTTGCAGCACAAAGCTGTACTGTCATCAGTCAGTTGGAAAGTTCCATTGTGATTTTTTAGGAAGAATGTAAAAACGGGAAGGCTGCAAGAGAGCCATAAACTATAGGAGAAATGAAGGCAGGTTCTGTCAGCAAGAAATGTCAAGTGCTCTGTGGTTGGCTTGTCAAAAAGGGATCCATTTGATTTGCATCGAATGACTGTCTTCGGGGGAGGGAAATGATATGAAAGAGCCTCTTGTGGTTGGCTAAGGAACAGATTATAAAAGTTCAGAGCTGCTGTCTGACATACCTACAGCGGGCAGTCTGTAGCCACTGCAATGTGCTGCCAGGGCTGGGGTGCAATGTTCAGCTCCTCTCATCTCCAAACAGTGACAGAATGTGTTTCTGCAAGGTGCTGCTGTAACGAAACTGAACGCTGTTTGATGAATGCTGAAACGAGCGCTGTTTGAGTCAAATATGAACACATTGGCCAAATTAAAAAATAATTGGGTGAAATTTACAAACAGACGTAGGAGGTAAAACCAGATAATATAGCAGCAGTTCTGTGAAGAAATCTACGAGTTGATGATCTCTGTACAGATTTCTTCTATTCCAAAAGTTATTTTATTTTTGTGGCCAGTCCTCCTTCTATAGTGACTTTGATTTTTCAGAGATGAAAGTGAACAGTTCTTTAATTTTATTTTTTTTAACTTCATTTCTTAAGGCAACAAGCCATATTGGAGCACCTGTCCCTGTCTCTTTTTCAATCTATGAAGTTTCATTTGATTTAATGGAGATGTGTGATTTGATTTGATGGAGTTTTGTGAGTCTCTTAGGTATTAATTTCCTGCTAGCCTCATGAAAATAGATAGCATTGGAGAGGTAGGATATAGTGTTAGTATCCTGTCTGGGGAGAAGGCTCCAGTATTGTCTCATCTGCAGATGGGTCCTAGGGCATGTTGGTGGGAGGAGGGGAGGGAGATGTAGAAGCGATACGAATACTGGAGCCCAGAGGTTTCAGTTGTGTCTTTCCTTTACTGGGCACCAGAATATGGAGGTGCAAGAGAAAGCTATTGAGAATTAGATGGTTTTCTTGGGACTAAGGGAAGACCCATTTAATATCTTTGTCTTGTTTATCTGTTAGGCGTTTGTCAGACAATCAGCTATTTGCACGCAGGCTGTATGAAGCTGACTGCACTTTTCCACACCTCCAAACGTTCTCAATTCATTTTAGCTTTTTAATTTCTGTGCCTCCAGTCATTTCCATTTGTGCTGATGTATCTAGGCTCCGGGGCATCTCTCAACATAAACCTGCTAATGTTCATTATGCATCCAGCAGGTTGCACCATCAGCAGGCCAAGGTCAGGCTCATCAAACTCACTGAGGAGAAGAAGCCTCCTAAGAAGCTTCCTTCCAGCTGATATATGTAATTAGCCTCCAATTATAGATACGGCATGGAAATAAATGGTCCTTGTGCCCAGGGAATCAAGTTACACAACCATAATAAAATATTTGCAAGCTGTGATACCACTTCTTTGAATCAAGACTGTGTATTTTATTTAGCCTAATTTTGCTGACACATTTCATAAATTCTGATTTGCCTTCGTTTTTCCACTTTTTCTTTCTGTATGATTTAGTGGTCAGAAGAAGCGTGTGCAGCACATCTTACCCAGCGGGATGGATACCAGGCTGCTACTCAAGGACAGCTGAAAGATCAGCTGTATCAAGAAATTATCCATTACTTTGACAAGGGCAAGGTAAAAAGAGGGGAAAAAAAAGTCCAAACATGTTTCTTTGCTTTTCTCTAACTTACTTACAGGTTGAATAGTAAACATTGCATCAACTGACCTTCGGAGAGTTTTAAGTTTGTGATTCTTTATATGGAGTGCTTTTTGTGAACACCCTGCCAGCACTTGGAAGATAATAATACTAAAAAAAAAAAAAAGTAGTGAAAAAATCACTGGTACATTTATAACTGCTCTGTTAAAGGTAAATGTATGTTCATGTGGTGCCACGGAGAACATGGAAAGGAAGTGATGTGTGTAACTTAGAGGACTTTGTTTTTCCAGCAATTGCAACAACTAATGCAATCCTTCAGTTACTCATTTTATCTTAGACAAAAACACAAGTGTCAGAGTGGATGTGTGGTCTGTACTGTAAGAGGTTGATGGAGAGGCAGAGATGTTGTTGCTCCTGCTTTTCCGAGAGGAATTTGAATTTGATGTTGTGAGGTGGGAAGGGATGGGTGTTGGCGTTACCTGTCCACAGAGATGATGGTTTTGGTATGGGAGGCAGGGAGAGATGCAGGGACATATCAGGGCCTGGAAACGGCATGCCTGGAGGGTGTCAATGGAGAGGTAAAATTCTCTTCATCGGGATGTTCCAGAAACATAATCTTGTTCTTTCCTGTAGTGGTTTGACACCAGCAGAGTGTTCGTAGAATCATAGAATGGTTTGGGTTGGTAGAGACCTTTAACACTGTCCAGTTTCAAACCCCTGCTATAGGCAGGGACTTCTTCCTCTAGACCAGGTTGCTCACAGCTCCATCCAGCCTGGCTTTGAATGCTTCCAGGGAGAGGGCAGCCTGTTCTGGTCTCACCACCCTCACAGTAAAGACTTTATTTCTATTATCTAGTCTAAATCCACCCTCTTCCAGTTTAAAACCATTTCCCCTTGTCCCATTACTACATGCCCTTGTAAAAGAAAAAAATCCCTCCCCAACTTTCCTGTAGGCCCCCTTCATAAAAGGCCACCAAGTTTGTCAGCCACGTTGGTTGCCACCAATCACCTCAACTTTATTTTCCACGTGCCTAGAGTGTTATTTATTTAAAAGCAATGTTTGTTGCTTAAATGTAGTTCAAACAGAAATGTTATTTACTGGGAGAATTAGAGAATTCTCCTACAAGCTCATGTTATTCAAGTAGGCTTTTAGCAGAGTCAGATCAGTGTTTTGAAAGAAACTTTGCTTCAAAGGTCAAATTTTACTTCTTATCTTAATGCAATATTTAGAAATTCTATATTGTGATAGCAGCAGGCTCACAGCTCATGCACATACAATGAGCAGAGCAGCACTGATTTCCACAGCGCACTGTGGAAAGAGATCTTTATCAAATGGAATAACCACTCTTAATTTTTTTCTAGTTTTGCAACCAGAAATGAAAAGAAGTAGAGCTGAAAATTCTGTGTTTACTCCATTTCCTCACAGTTAAGCAGCTGAATCTTCATTACTTTAAAATTTATTGGTGAAGTATAACATTGAAGGGACCACTGTGACCGCTTGCTCATATTTCTTTGCATAACTGGGATTCCTGCTTAATTTATTTTGGTGAGCAGAGAATTCATTTTCAAAACACTCTTGCCCGTCTGCAGATCTTTGCTCACTTGTTTTCTGGTCCCCTGAGTCGGTGATAAGGTTTTGTATCATTCAGCAGAAAGGAAAAAAAAATCAATATACAAAGAGAATATGGAAATCTAACAAGAAGTTTCAAATGGCTGGTTTCTGCAGTAGAATTAAGGTAATGCTCTCAGCTGGGGTGTTCTGACATTAGGATAAATTAACTTCTTGCATTTAACTACGCAGTTTGCAAATTTAGCAGCTACTTTAACTGTGTAATTCTGTGATCAGTAGCACATCTGGAACAGTATTTATGTGTGTTTTTAGAATCACGTACTGATAAGCTAACAATTTCTGCCTCTGCCTGGCAGTTTGCTCTGTGTTGATCCTGTTACTTTGCTTTCTTCTCCCATGAAGTTAACAAGAGGTGTCCACCAATGGCCCTTTTACTCTGGACAACTCTAGAGCTACTTTCAGGCTCTTAAAGAAGCTTGGTAGTTTTGTTTTAAAGCTGTTGTGAGAGCATTCCTCTTCTGCCTCAGCCTACCAGGCTGCCTTGAGATGTTCCCATGGTTAGAGGCATGTAGCACAGCAGGATTTCTCAGAAGGTAACACTTGGTTTTAAAATGCTGGCATTTCTTGGTAAAGGCTGTTGTAGTTCAGCCTCTCGACAATCACGATCCCGTTCTCTTAATCAGGGTAATTTCCCCAGAGGAAAGCTCAAGGCACTTTTCAAGTGTAGAACAACCGTGAAGCTTACTGCTTAAGTATTGGCATGCAGGTTGAGGTGTATGTAGAGGAAGGTGTAATTTTATGTATTTGCTATGCAGAGAAATACACCACTTCTAGACCAGAAGTGCCTGAGAAGTTTGTAATTTAACAGGACCACACATGAGCATGTGCTGAATGTCACTTGTCTGTGAACAGAATAATAGTGTTCATCACAAGTATCCTTGTTAGGAAATTAGGATTTCCAGGTACAATTTCTGTTCTTTGACACTGTGGCTCTGATTCCTCATCAGTAGTGCTTTTCATTACTCTTCAAGTCCCTCCTTTCCAGAATGAAAAGTTGCTACTTCCAAGTCTTGGGCACATGTATATTTTCCTCTCTCCTGGATTTTTCTGCCTTTACTGTGGTGTATGTTGTACTTTCCAGTCTTACCTCCATCTCTCTGGGCCTTTGCCCTTAGAAGTTTCATCTTTGCTCTTATCCCAGCAGTCTAACATGTCCTTTGAACTGCACTTCAAGTGTTTGCTTTTTCTGTGTTTTGTTGAAGTCTGGTAATTTTCAACAAAGCCCTTAATCCAGAGACTTTACTGAAAACTGCTGGAGCGTATCACAGTGAGAAGGGAAAGTAGAGGCAAAAAGAAAAGGAAGAAGGAACAAGCTGAAATTTGTGGAGCAATTGGTGTTAGTCAATGCTGATGTACTTCTGAAGCCAAGAAATTCTCTGGTGTCATTGACAAAGCTATCATCTTGAAGCAGGATTTTGTGGTCTCCGTAGCCAGACAGGAAGCCACAGCATTCCTGCCCTGGCAGTAAGATGTACAAACCACAACGAGTTTGCTGGTGGATGCCACAGTCTGTAAATGAGTAAATGTTTCCTGCTGCTCCTTCGTAAAATGAAAGCATTGGTCCTGTCGAGGAAAAAAATAGGTAAATGCACACTCCTCACCTATTTAATCTCCTTCATCCCTACCACCTCTGAAGCCCACAGGAAAAGGCTTTTACTGTTTTACTGGAGGCACGAAGCACAAGATACTTGAAATGCCCCAGTAGATGGGGTATCTTACACCTCTTGAATGCTATGCTAGCTATAGAGAAATATTGTTTTAATACTATATTTAAAATTTTAAGCTTTCTGATGCTTAATTAATGCTATCTGAAATATAACCAGTGCTGGGAATGTCCCTCATGCCTCACAATATTGCATGATAATATGCTTCTCCAAGACTGTTTCGTTTCTGCTGACCGTTAACTCAGCATGAGCTAAGAAATATCCTAAGATTCTCCTTTGCTGCTGTTGAAGATCCTCAAAAACTGAATTGAATGCTGTAGTTCTCCCTTTGCAACAAGCAATCTGGGCTTCAGAAGTAAATTAAATTGCTTCTTTTTCCCTAAGATCTCCTCCTGAATTCTCAAAGTCCTTCGCATAAAAATTTGCAGCTCATGCCTACATCTTAGTTAAGGCCGTACACATTTTTCTTATTCCTTTAGTATAAAAACCATTTTCCTCCCACTCTCGCAAACCTCTCTCTCTGGTACACTCTGCAGATAAATTGTTTCTTTGTGTTAATGAGTTGTATATTGTACAAATCCTGTGTAGCAGCTCCCAGTACGGCTCATTCCTCCAGAAGACCTGCCGTGTCCTGGGCAAACCTGGGAAAACTTCCAACGCAGGAAATCTGCCAGGCAGCAGATGGGGAGTTATTGACCTTCAACAGTATAGATTTCATCTATCAGAATCCTTTGCCACAGCCATGCAACCCTCACCTGAATAAATCTCCTCCGTACCAAACAGAACATTTTCAGACTATTTCACAGGGTATTTTAAATACACAGTTCCAACTCCTGCTGCGACGCAGAAAGAATTGCTGGATTTAGTTTCATTTTCAGCAGCATTGCAGGTGTTGTAGTCCAGCTGCACAAACAGTGGAGAGAAAAGCCAAGTGTTTAATTGACTCGTGGACCTCTGGAGTTTGGGGCTCTTGACATTTTATAAATTGAGTCTTACAACACAACTCCTTGCCATTCCTTTGGAGGATTGAGCCGGACAATTGGATTTCAGAATAGAGATGCTGGAGCAGAGTGGGGTTTTTAAGAGACGGGAGCAACAGAAAGTGAGTCCTGTTCTTGCAGGCAGATTCCTTGCCTGGAGAGGTGCCAGATGCTGGCACAAACTGAAGCAGTCTTTTCTCAGAGCTGGGCAGTTTTATCGTGCATCTGCTGTGGAATAGAGAGGGAATCGTTTTGCTTCTTTGCTGTACTTGGAAGTGTTGCATTAGAAATAATGTGACAGAACATGAGTATTGTAACTAGTGAACTAACTTCTGAAGAATGTTTAGAGTAATTCCAGTAATTGAAGTCAGAAACAAATGATGTAATACCTGTTTTTTTTTTCTATTCATCTTCATTTATGCATTAGGAAATGGTTATTAAAATGGAAGGATGCTAGTATTGTGTGGTTTACTGCTTGTATATTGAAGGTAAACTAAGTCTATATATTTAATCTGAGAATTCATTCTTCAGACTCTGACCAAAAGCATTTATAAAGTTCATTTCTAGTGTTCGTATTCCCTAACTCAGAAGGGTTTGGTTGGGCTGGAGGAGGTGCCTCCTGGTAAGGGCCATAGAAGCACAGCCCCTGCTCTGGAGAAATTATGGTCTTGATTGACAGGGAAGGGAAATAAATAGGCCAGATGCAATTAATTTGCACTGAATGGCATGCAGTGTCAGTGTCCATGTGCCAGGTGGGCTTTGGATGTGTGGAGCTTGGTCAGCATTCAAAAGAAGAATTGAACGAGGTTGTTTACAGCATTGATGCAAGTCTAAAACTATTTCGATTTCCATTTATTTCAAATCTTGTTCAGCTACAAAGCTGTTAGCCTGAGGTCATCAATACTGTGTATTTTCAAGATGGAAAATATGGTAGCAGTGCTTCAGCTTTGGTGAGTGACTGGTTAAGTGTGGGGCATGCAGAGAGCCGAGGCAAGGAGAATAACAGTAACAACCATTTTCTGTGAAATGAAAATATGCAGAAGTAGTTCTGGATGACTGAAGTTAAGAAGATGACAGCAGTCAAAATGAAGAAAGGTTAAATGGTTTTGAAAGGTTTCACTTGCTGACTTATTGAGCAGCCAAATGTTAGTTTAGTTTCTATAAACTGGTAGTGTGTTGCTCCTCTGAGCCAAAATTAAGACAGCTTAGTACGTGAGAACGTGCTTCATGTCTGTAAACACACCTTTACTATTTAGCCCATGTTAATTCTTGTCTAGAGATAAAAATACACTCTGTATCATCATTCTAGATTAGATTAAACACTGCGAGCCTTCCATTTGCAAAAGCTGTGTTGCAAGGGCGTAAAAACTGCCTTCTGATTCCTTGCAGACATGGGTGCCTCATTATGGTGATTGTAATTAGTGTTCCAATGTGGTTTTGATCTTCAAGGCACTTGACAAGCATTAGTAACTCATGCTCATTCCAGCCCTCTCTCTTAGATAAATAATACAGTGGAACTTGTTGTAGAAATGAGAAAAATCAGAGAAGGGATTAAATATTGTGTGAATTGCCAGAAGTCAATCACCACTCAGTCCCTACTTGCCCAAGGATCCTGTTCCCTCCTAGGAGCAGGAGATTCTTTTGCTCCAGGATTCAAAAGCTCCTTTTCCTTTGCTCAGATATACCAGCGACTGCTTGTGATGTTTCTGGCCTATATTTCTCCCTTACTTTGAGAGCCTGCCATCTTCCATAATTATTTTTCCTGCTAGCACCTACAGCATCCTTTCGATGCTCTCCTTTGGGTATTGGTTTAGTGAGAACTATTGTTGATAGGTGGATGGTTGGATTGGATGATGTTGTAGGTCTTTTCCAACCTCGGTGTTTCCGTGGTTCTGTGATTCTCCTCTAACATCAACAGCACCTCTTCAGATTGCTTCTTTCCAGCCCTTCCCTCCATTAATCTGCTTGGGCAGCTTTTCAGTCCAGCCTTGGGTTTGTAGGATGGGAGCCCTACTTCTGAGAACTGGCTTTTCTGCAGATGAGCAAGGAGGAAGAGCAAGCTGGTGGCTCCTGCTCCAAGTCCTGCTTCTGTGGCATTGGTGTAGTGGAAGACTTGCTGAATATTCAGCCTGCCTGGTCTCCTAATTGCCACTTCCTGGGAAAAAAATGAAGAATGATGGATCATTGGAAGGTTGGATGCTCTGATTGAAAGTCTTCTCCCTGTAGGGCTGGTGTCTCTGTTGGAACAAGGGAACTATATGTTCTGCCCTTTCGTTCAGACCTCTTCCATCCTGCTGCCCTGTAGAGTTGCAGCCATCTCTGTTTCTCTGGGGCAAGGAACATGAGGAGAGTTAGATGGCGTGGACAGGAGATGTAAATTAAGACGAAGGGTAATATGAGACAAATTGATTTATAACTCGGTCCAACTCTTATTTTCTTAATAAAGTGAGGTCAGCATGGCCAGCCAAATCTCTGCAGCAGAAACAAATCATCGGGTTTGATGCTAGGTCTCCTGGTGTGCTAATTTAAGCATCTTTCTGGGTTTGAGTGGTTCTTTACATTTAAAGTAGGAAAAAATGAAAAATACACACTTAAAAGCATGTTTGGTGCTCCACTCGTTAAGATTGTTGGGTTCTGAAGAGCCGAAGGATATTGTTAAATTACTTTGGGTCAGTTGAGACAGCTGCTGAATTTCATGGTTGAAGAAGAGAAGAACCAAGGGAAATGTAATAGTTGTCCAAAGCATTATCTGTAAGATGCTCATCCAGTTTAATATAGATTATAGATACTGGAGGAGGAGAGAGGTGATGATGAACTATAATCAATTAACAGCATTTATCAGCAGGCCTGGGTTCTGAGTGGCTCTGGCCAAGCCATGTTTACACATTGCTGGGTATGTAGTTGGGCTGGCAACAATCATTTCATTTCTGAAGGAATACAGTCGCTGTACTTGGTTTGCATGGGAGACATGTGGGTAATGCTGTCACAGCTATGTGGCACATCTGATGCACAGTGTTTTCAATGCCTTTTGTTGTGTTTTATAAGGATTTATTTTATTCCAGGGTCATTGTTTAACCAAGGTGTGTAATTTGGTTTTGTTGTTGCTTTGTGGGGTGTTTTTTTCCAACAGATGTGGGAAGAGGCCATTGCCTTGGGTAAAGAGCTTGCAGAACAGTACGAAAATGAAATGTTTGATTATGAACAACTCAGTGAACTGCTGGTGAGTTTTGCAGCGTTTTTTTGTCAGAATGCAATTCTTAAGGTTTTAAAATGATATTGAAAATCTTTCTTGCGAGAGTCAAATACCGAAATAGATGCCTGCCTTGGCTTTTTTTGGATAAACGTTGAATAACTGGCTACTAATGGCTACTAATTAGCCGAAAGAAAAATGTTGCCATCGGGTTAAGCTGATGTATTTGGAATATAAAAGGAAATTTGGAATTTAAATATAAATGGGAACAGGAAAAAATCGCCTTTCTCGTTCAAGTGTCTTTCCACATTCACGTTCCTTTTTTTAGGTATGAATAATCCCCAAGCATTCATGTCTAGAGTCAGTTATTTTTGCCCCGACACAACCCATTCATTATGCCTGCACCACTTTTCTCTTGCTCTTCTCCAACAAGATAAATGGCAGCTGTCACTTTCCCTCCCAACTTCTCAGCCATGCTCGCAGGAGTCGGTGCTTCTTCCCAGTTGCGTTCAGAAAATTCTTGACTGTCAGATTTTTTTAATACGTTTTTTCCTTTGCACCCAGATTTATTTTTATTTTTAATTGTTTGAGCTTTATCCCATACCATCCTGGCTGGTCATTTGCACACTGCCACTTGCGCCCTGTTTCTCAGCTGACACCAGTGCTCAGTTTGAGCCTGGCTGGGAGCCATCCCCCCGGGAGCAACTTCTTGGGGAGGAAGGAGTAAAGCCAAGTGCTGCTCTTCTCACTTCTACGATTACTTCAGTCCTTCACCAGTTCTTCTCTTTTGTGCAGTCCATCATTCTGTCCTCCACCTCTCCAAGGCTGATTTTTTTTTTTGCACGACCCTCTTCCTGTAGCTTTTTAACTGTTTTTAGTGCCAAGCTGTGTGTATTCATCGCCTAACAGATCTGGAGCGTGGTTTTATGTTGCTTTTTTACTCCAAGTTGTAGAGAATTAAAACAGTGTTTTTAAGGTGCTTTGAGAGGCAAAGGTGCTTTGAGAGCCTCTGCCCGCTGCTGACAGTGGGGCTGATTCCAATAGAGAGTATTCTGCATTTCAATATGAAAGGAATCTGATGGAGGTTGTTCCTGAGCTGAAAATGACTCTCTTGTGTCAGGTGTGGTCATTCATCAGTAGGTAACTGCTCTGAGTCCCTCGTTTTTAATTTTGTCTCCTTCCTTTATGCTTGCACATGGGAACATGATCAGCTTTTGTCACGAAGGCAGCCATACTTTATCATGCTTCATCTGTTTTTGGCAGTTTGAATTTGCACTTTGTATGGCATAGCTGATGATCAAAAATGCTGCTAGGTGTTTTTTACCATTTCTCTTCCAAAGGAAATATGTCACTGATTGCATAAAGGGATATAATTACAACAGAGGCAGTGGTAGAAACTGATTATGGTTCATCTGCATATGGAAATGACGTTTCCTCCTCTTGTAATAAGGAAAATCCAGAACTGCCCACTGCAAATTTATCTGCTATTTGTTTATCAGACAGGAGAAACTGTAGGGAGCATCACAAAAATTAACAAAGTCATACATTAGGCATTCATCCCTGGTTAGGCAAGGATGAAAACTCAAGCTCTAGTATGAGTCAGGTCTTGCATATCCCATAGGCTTTTCTTATTGGTGCTGGTGAATAACAGTGAGCCAGTCTTAGGTGGTGGGGGGATGTTCCAAAATAAAAATTAATAAGTTTTTGTTTCTTTCTGTTATCCCTATTGTCTCTTTTGTTTAAGCAATATGAGATATTAGGCTCTAAAAGAATTCACAAATGACAAAATAGTTTTGCTACAACTGAACTGAGAAGTGTGTGGCAGATCTGGGTCTTTGTAGTCATCTCGCTATTTACTGTTATCTGTCAAATGGGATCAGTAATAAACCTCTCTGAAAATCAGAATTTGTTCTCTTATGAAAAGTAACAGACTAAAAATAAGTTAATGAACAGATCGTCCAAAGCAGCACATTTGTTATTATTTCATCATTTGAGATGAAGAAGGATTCCACTTTGAAAACAGATGGCGTCTGACATGCGTGTATTTATTCCAAAAGTTATATTTTCTGCAGTTCTCAACTGCGTGCTTTCCAGTGCAAATAAACAGTTGTAAATATGTAGGGGAATGTAATGAAATGCAACAGCAGAAAAGCCAGAAGTCAGCATCATTGAGAGCCAGCTTTAGCAGCGTGCATTTCTCCATTCCAGTGTTTCAGCATTGGCAGGGCTGCAGCCATGAATTCAAGTTGCTGTGCAGATTCATGGCCTTCATCAAAATTTCATTATCAGAAGTGGGATAGTGAGGGTCACCAAGATGAGCTTGAAAACACTGGATGCAGAGTTTTGTATCTCAAAATATTACTCTGTATCTGTTAAAATAAAAAAAAAAGAAGTGAAGAAAAGGGCAAGTGAGATTTGTCTTCAATTTAGAGCTACAAATAAGAGATGTACAGGCAATCTGCTTCAGGTTTATGTCATTAAAGTCTCTTGTGTTTATTTTCCAGAGAAAACAAGCACAGTTCTATGAAAACATTGTGAAAGTGATAAGACCAAAACCAGATTATTTTGCTGTTGGATACTATGGCCAGGGATTTCCAACTTTCATAAGGGTAAGTGTGCACCTTCATCCACAGGCAGTAGTCTGATTTGACCGTGCTGTGTTGCAAGTGCATTGCTGTCAGTGTGTTATTTACTATCTGCCTAACCTCAATGGTTGTTTCCTAGGTATATAAAACAATCGTCTGCTTTTTATTTCCTATTTTGAATATGGAATGGTTGCATTTTAGTAGACAAACTTTTTCTTCCAAAATACCCAATACTTTATAATTCTCAAGTGTTCATATCACTAGAAATGTAGATATACTTACCCTATCTATAAATCAGGATAGGAATCAGCATCATCAGAGACAGAGAAATGTTTGCTGGACAGGAACAACAGAGACCACAACCGTATGTGATTGTGTTTTCATGTGAGTTCACTTTTCAGCACAGTCTTGGAAATGAGTATCAAAAATGTGTTTGATGCCTTAAATGCAATCTTTTCTCACGAATTTTCACAGTCTTTGCCAGTTTAAAGCATGTGTCACTTAGACTTGCTTTACCATCATCAGCTAATAACATTCCTTTTTTGTTCTTTTTCTACTGACACCAGAATTGCTACGGAGTTGAACTGGTGGTTGAATAAGGATGGGGAGTTAACACCTCTGAATTTCATCTCTGCAGTGAATCTCAGGACTCTGCCATTTTTCAGTCTATGACATGGAAATAACACATTGTCTTTTTATCCACTCTTCTGCTCACATCTTTCTTTAAAAATGAGGATTTGGGGCTTGGAAAGAGTCTCTCTCCAAACCCCTGTGGAAGAGTTCCAGTAGATTAAGACCTTTCAAGAAGCAGAAGATTTCTTATGTTCCAGGATAGACTCAGAGATGTTATCTTAGGACAGGGCTAGCAGCAGGTTTCCTGCTGTGTGAGAGAGGAGTGCCTGGCTGTGACTATATTGGCTCCAGGTTAACTCTCTCCAGTGATGGAAGTTCTTGCATCATCTCATGAAGCTGAAAACACCTGTGGTTTTTCATATGCCCAGATTTGCTGTAATGCAGGTGCACTTTACCACTGATAGACGCTGTGAAGTGTAACAAATTCTCAGCTGAGCTGCCCTGGTCTCCAAAACACTGTTGGACAGCCTTTACCAAAGGGACTCTGAGGCCCAGGGAAGTGGCAGGGTCAGCAGCTCCCAGAGCTGCCCTGCAGCATATGAAGTGCAGTTCTGCAAACTGACACAACCATATGTCAGGAACAGATGCAAATGCATGATGCTGTGCAAGCTGATGTGGGTTTGGGATCAAAAGGCTGATGCTAAAGAGATGTGATGTGAAAAAAACAAGAATGATTGTGGTGCTGGAAGTACATGTAATGTACATATAATGTATTTTGTCAAGTGTCAGAGAAGAAAAATATGATGTGTTAGGCAGCAAAAACATTAATAAGAATTTTTTTAAATGTTTGTTAATGATCTCTTATGTTTTACCATGCAAGAAGCATTTATTCCCTTATAATATTCCTGTAGGAAAGGCTTGCATTAACAGGAATCTCCGAAGTGATGAACACACAATAAAGAGCTGGATAACTTTGCAAAGGAACTCAGTGCCACCAGTGAAATTTTGTGTCCTGTGCAGTTGCTCACAGCGATGCATGATCACTGGTAGCACCCACAGTCTTCTTAACAGTGTCATTTACTTCTAAAATGGCATTCTTTTGTCTTTGTGCTTTCATCTGCCGTTCTTGCTTGCTGACATTAATACCCTTTAGTAAATGTACTCATAGGAAAAGCCTAGTTCAGTTACTTATGTCCATTCCATTATCTATAGAAGGTGGATGAGAAGGATGACAGAGGGTGGTCTTGGATTTGATGGACATTATTTGTCTTAATAAGTTTTCAGGGCGCGTCTGTTGTATAGCTCCTTGAAATCATGTGTTTGGGTCCCATTGAATCCATTGTACATAAACCTAAAAATAAGCCTGTGCTTGGGGATCTGAATACCAAGACAGAGTTATGGAGAGACACCTGTGCTTTCTTGAGTGGATGTAAAATATTTGTAGTCTATTGATTACACCCCAGTGTTAAAGCATCTCTCTGGCCATCACTGGAGTCAACGCTTCTGAGATCCCAGTTCATTGCTGGTATGGGGACTTCACCTCTCTATTTGTTTCCAGAACAAAGTCTTCATTTACCGGGGAAAAGAGTACGAGCGGCGCGAGGACTTCGAAGCCAGGCTGTTAACTCAGTTTCCCAATGCAGAGAAAATGAAGACAACGTCTCCACCGGGTGACGAGATCAAAAACTCCTCTGGCCAGTGTATCCTTGGATTGCAGGGCAGCTCCTGCAGAGAGGTGTTTGCTGGCAGCAAGCTGCTGCACTTTTGCCTTCGTTGGTGCACCGTGTTAATCTTGTTCTTTCACCGTGTTCCTGTTGAACTACCTGTACTGCAGATTGGAGATTGTCTTTTCAGTTCTTAACCCGTGCTTTCAGATATCCAGTGCTTTACTGTGAAGCCAAAGCTTGATTTGCCACCCAAATTCCACAAGCCGGTGTCAGAACAAATCGTGAGGTGAGTTTTGATGGTTTTGCCAAGTTAATCAGTCTTCTTTCTTAGCACTAAGACTTGTTTTCAAGCACTGGAATAGGTTCCCCAGGGAGGTGGTTGAGTCACCATCCCTGGATGTGTTTAAAAACCATTTGGATGTGGTGCTCAGGGACGTGATTTACCAGAGGGTTGTTAGTTAGGGTAATATGGCTAGTTTGCAGCTGGACTGGATGGTTTTTGAGGTCTTTTCCAACCTGAGCAACTCTATGATTCTTCTGGTTGTATTTTGAACATATACAGAGCCAAGGAGTGTAGGGATACAAGCACATTTCATTGATATTCTTCATATTAGGTCAGATTCTGTCAAACTCACAGGATAATAGTGATATACCATAAATATTTGATACTTACACATAAGCTTTTTTCTAGTAGTATTAAGCAGCAAATCCTAAACAGATACCAACTGATTTTGATTGTGCTCTTCCCCTTTTTCAGCTTCTATAGAGTGAATGAAGTCCAGCGGTTTGAGTACTCACGGCCCGTTCGAAAGGGAGAGAAAAACCCAGACAACGAATTTGCGGTAAAAGAAAAACCTAATTTGAGCATTTTTCTTGTTTATTCCCCTGCATTTTGATAATCTGAAGTATTTGTTGTGATTCGTTTACTTAACCATATATTGAGAGCTCAAATTTGATTATTTTTCATAGAAGTTCAATTCTTAAAAAAGCATCTCGTTTTATAGCAGCAGAAAAAAATAGACAAAGTTGTGTTTAGTTTGTTACGAAGACAGATTGAGGGAGCTGGGTTGGTCAGCCTGGAGAAAAGAAGGCTGCAGGGTGACCTCATTGCAGCCTTCAGTACCGAAAGGGAGCCTACAAACAGGAGGGGAGTCAACTCTTTGAAAGGGTGGATAACAGCAGGACAAGGGGAAATGGTTTGAAATTGAAAGAGGGAGGATTTAGGTTGGTTGTCAGGAGGAAGTTCTTTACAGTGAGAGTGGTGAGGTGCTGGAACAGCTGCCCAGAGAGGCTGTGATGCCCCGTCCATCCCTGGAGGTGTTCAAGGCCAGGTTGGATGGGGCCCTGGGCAGCCTGGGCTGCTGTGAAATGAGGAGGTTGGTGGCCCTGCATGTGGCAGGGAGGTTGGAGCTTCATGATCCTTGAGGTTCCTTCCAACCCTGGCCATTCTGTGATTCTGTGATACGATATGATTGTTAAAAACTAGTTTGAGACAGAAATTTAACACTGTTACAGCTGAAAAAAATAGCTGTATCTTTCCAAAGCGTACCGTGCTACGAAAATCCTTCTGGGGCATCTTCTGAAAACAATTTTTTTGCAGCAGTGCAATTTTTTTTTTTAAAGAAAGCCATATGTTTCAGCTAATGGTCAATAAAACTCCCTTTGAGCACAGCTTATATTCATCACAATGTTTAGAACAGGCTACATCAATTTGATTGTCCTTTTTTATGGTCACCAATTTATTCACAGTACCAGTAGGTGTGAAGTAGCAGTAGCAGAATTTAAGAAATGATGCATTAACTTATTATTTTAAGGAAAGAACTTGGTTCTCTGTAAGTTGCAGGCTCTAATGTAATCCTTTCATTAATAAATGCCAAGCACTTGGTTTCCTACAGACTGAGCATTCATCGAGAGACTCCTTCAGTGTCCCTGGCCTCTTTCACTGGTTTTTCTTTCAAAAATCATTAATTTGGTAATCTAAGTGGATTTAGCTGAGTAAGAAACCCTCTTTTTATGGAACTGTGATGCCAGACCTCAGTTCCACTGCTTACAGTATGAGTATACATAAAAGATCAAGTATATTGAAATCGCTTTGAAAGCTCTTCTGTTAATGGAAGATGGAGTAAATAGTTCAGATTTTTAAGAAGCCCCATAATAAATAAGAGGAACTACCAATTGTTCCAGTTGTAACAAATCAGATCAAGAGGTGTTTTGGTCAGCTCTAAGGTCAGGCCCAAGTGCCCAGGGCTTTACCCTGGTGGCTCCTGAAAGCCTCCAGGACGGGGAGGACACAGCCTCTGTGGGGATGCTGTCTCTCTGCTGCACTTTCCTCACATCCAAATGATGTGGTTTGGTGAAGGATGGTCCATGAAAGCCCCAGAAGGTGCGTAGGAGAACGTCACTTTGGTCAAACATCTGTGTCTTCTAACACAGTGCTCCCCTGTTGGAAGGAGAGCATTCTTTTCTCTCATGAAAGTATATCAGTGTCACTGTGCCAAAGTGACCACAGATTTAAATCATCACTTTTCCATCTCCCCACGCAGATTCTATCTGAAATTTCCCTCTGGCTCTGTAATGTCTGTCAGATTGCAGGTCTTTTGCCTGATGATAATGTTGTAAGTCTTTCTTAAGAGAACAGCTATCAATCTGGTAACGTGATGTGTACGTTTTCTTTGCAGAATATGTGGATCGAGAGAACCATCTATGTGACAGCATACAAATTACCAGGGATTCTGAGGTGGTTTGAAGTCAAATCGGTTTTCATGGTGAGTTCAGTTTGGTTTTATTGAGGTTACATAAGAGAAGGGGGCTTTTATACAGCCAGGGAGCATTTATATTTCTGTGTGACTGTGCTTCTGTGAACGAGCAATCAATGTGACTGTATCTGCTATCCTAAGACAAGGGGAACCTGCTTGCAGAGGATGCTGATTATTGACTAGGGGTGACTAAAGTAATGATTTCCACTCCTGATACAAGGTAGTACATGCTGAACCTTCCAGACCTTTAGGGCAAGGTCTGATAAAGTACTTGAAGTACTTCTATAAAGCATTTCCATCTTTCAGCAGGTGAGCCATTACAGCCTGTGGCTTAAGCCACATGCCCCAAATGAAGAGGGAACCGAGGTGTTGCAGGGGAGCCCTGCTACATAAAAATGAAACCAGTCTGAATTTTGGAAAAGGGCATTTTGGTATTCTTATTGTGACTGGTTCAAAATACGCCATGAATTGAGTTCTTTCTGTGTGTCTGCATTACTTCTGTTCTTAGCATTTGCACTTAAAGATTGTTTTTGTTTCATTTCTGTAGTTGGCTAAAATACACCCTAGCAACCTCACCAAGCAGCTCAAAAATAGGCATTCCTCTGTTCTACCATTTAGACTGTTCAGATAAGACGTATCCATTAAGTGCCTTAAATATTAAATTATTCTTATGCAGCTGTAATTTTTAAGTAGCAATAAAAGCATTGTTACTGCAGTTTTTAGTTCTCTCTTGTGAGGCTTATTTTTAAAGGAAAAGAACAATTTGCATATGATTAATTAAAACCTTTTTCATTGCTCCATTGAGGATATGTTGGACAGTTGTATTTAGATGATCAGAAGTAAAGCAGAAAATTACTACGGTATCTATAGTAACAGAATATGAATGTGATGTTTGACAGTCATAAGCATCTGAATAAAACGGGTTGAATTTTTAATAAATTTTATATTTTCAGTATAATCCTGATAGGGAAGACGGTGTTTATCTTTGTCCTTGGAAAAGGTGTTGTTCGTAGAGGCTGGCAAATCTGATGGAAGTCTCTTTTCCTTACGAGTTAGGAGCAGCCTGATAGCAAGCATTTTGTGCACATGCACCTTGAACGCTGTGCTTGTCACAGGCATGCACAGAAGCCCTGTGTGAGCACCTTCTATAAGCTTGCTGTAAGCAAGGATCACATTAGTCACATAGTTGGAAAATGATACCAGAATGGGCCTTAATAATATATGGGAAGACAGCGAGGGATGACTTTTGACCTAGCTCTGGCATAGCTGCTGCAAAATTGGTATTGACTTTCTTCAGGATTCCTGTCAGCTGCAATGCTAGAAGCACAACCACTGAATGTACATGCCTGTAATGCTACATCTGGGTTATGGATATGAATATTATTGATGTTTTACTAAGTGCAATGAATTAAAGTAGCTTTGCACATTTCATATTGTATTGATCAAACCAGCGTATCTTTGAAGGAAGAGGTGAGATGCTAAGGGGGAACTAAGACATTTATTAAAGGCAATTTGTTGTGTTACACAAACGATGGAAACATGCAGAATTTCCTTTAATCTGTTTGTGGTTGTTTTTTGGTTTTTGTTTTTTTTTTAATTACTTCTGAGAACTCGGTACCTAAACTGTTTTTGTTGGCTGCCAACAAGGAATTAATTGTATGCATTCATTGTTCTGTATCTGATTTGGTTTAGCTGGACACAAATAGTTGTAGAGAAAAAAACTGCTGAGGCAGCCACGGAGTGAGAAGCTGTACTTTGAATTGTATGTAGTTAAAAAGCCCAAGCATTATTCTGTGTCTTTTTATGTTTAACTTTTAAAGTGTTGCAAGTATGAGTATAGCATTTTTGTTTGCCATAAATAGATTGTGTAGCACACAGAGATAGCAAGCTACCTAGGTTCACAAGTATGTGTGTATTTTTTAATAAACAGCTCTCAGGAAGGTCCAGTGCACAGCAGCACACAGAAGTGGGATGGGAGCTGCAGCTCTGCATTTGAAATGTAAAGGGGAGCAGGGGAAGAAGGCAGGCTGAGAAAGCAAGCCATGATTACTGATACAGAGAAGTTAGAAAAGATGTCAGTCAGCTCAATGAGTGCTAATTTCTGTAGATATTCGAGAGCTTTGAAGGCAATGGTTCATCAACAAATTATTTCCTCGTTGTAAGCCCGTTAATAAAAACGACAGAATCCTAAATTTAGCACACAATGTTCTTTCCAAATGAATGTGGTCTTCATTTTCCCCATCCAAATGTTGCTGATAGCAGCCTCAGCTTGAAGAGGTGGTCAGCTGGTGCTGTCTCAGCCTGCTCTGGGCCATGGCTGTGCAGAGGCACCCAGCTTGCTGCCCTTCCAGAACTATCCACCAGGCAGACCTCTAAAGATGCTAATTACAACACCCTTGGTGTAATCACATGGCAGGTGTAAGAGTAACAAGGAAAGAGATTTGATTATAAGTGCTCCTCAGAAACGTGGTTAGCAACTGATAGCCAGGTAGAAGTGCTTCTTTGTTTATGTAGCATTTATGTAAATCAGGCTGTAATCAAATATACACTTGCATTTTCCTCGTAGGCCTCAATTAACGTTCCTTTTCTATTCCTATACACACACATATATATATTTTAATGTAAGTAGGCTATGACTTGAGGCTTCCATTAAGGACTACCTACACTGTGGGTTGCTGCTAATTAGTCATTTTTAGCTCGTTCATGAAATGGGCCTATTTTGGCAACATTTTAAATATTTTAATAATTCTTCTTTCAGTATGAGCAGCTGTCATGCTGAAAGACGCAGTGACCAATAAATAAAAAGATGCATTGACCAATAAATAATAGTTGGAGATCAGTCAATTAAAATCAAGAAAGTTTTGCTCAGTGTAAGAGCTGCTTCACCCCATTAAGACATCTGAAGATCTGTCTTCAATGAAGCTATGTGAAAAAGAAAATTTCTTACTCATTATCTAAGATAGGAGGAAGAAAATGAAACGCCGTGGAGAAAAGGCACTGTAGATAGCACAGAAGCCATCTCTTCAACATGTTAAACTTCATTTCCTTGGATACGTACCAAAATAATCACTGCAAAAATACCTTCTTGATTTTTGAGCTTCTTAGGATTACGTTTTTCATCAGAAAATCCACATTAAGTCATCATTTCTTTCTTACTGTTACATTAAGCTGGATTCTTTGTGCTGCTAAAACTCACTGATCCATAATCTGTGATATTCTCCATAATCCTCTGCAAACCTCCCATGATTCTTGTCAGAGCCTTTGTAAATGTTTTGCTCTGTTGTACTTTGAGATGTAATCTGTACTGCAGCAACGAAATGCATTCAACTTTTTCTGCAGATACCATTTATCAGTTATCTCAGTATCTCCACAGATAGCATTCGGTGCAGTATATAGACACCAAACATTTAAGTGGGGATGTGGTTAGTGGGCGTGGAGGATCTTAGTGGCCTTTTCCAACCTTAATGATTCTGTCAGTGTCTGAAGCCAGCCTTTTTGTTAACTATCTGTTAAAATATCTTTCTAGGAGTGCTTCTGAATGCAATGGTTTGATGGACAACCAGCTCCACGGCAGGTTAAAAACTCTGCTCCTTAATTAAAGCATCCTTTTGTTTTTATTTTAGGTTGAAATTAGTCCACTGGAAAATGCAATAGAAACCATGCAGCTAACAAACGATAAGATCAATAACATGATTCAACAACATTTAAATGATCCAAATCTACCCATTAACCCTCTCTCTATGCTACTGAACGGCATTGTGGATCCTGCAGTCATGGGAGGTTTCACCAACTATGAGAAGGTAACATCAAACTGTACTGTCCTGCAGCAGTTCACCTCTTGGAAGCTCTGCACCTCATCTTTTAGTACTGTGTTTGTGTGTAGAGACGCTTTGTGAGCCTCCCCTAATAAATGCTTTGGAGAACATTGCTTAAAACTGTATCTTTGTTAGGATTTTCTGATATTTGTGGATGCATTTTTTGTCCTTTCTAAATTTGAAGTGAAGGATGATACGCTTGGCTTCAGGAGTGCTTACATAGGAATGGGGCAGGCAATTGCTTGCTAGAATTACAAAGTGAGATTGATGGCATTTTCAGTGTGTGCTCTCATGTGCTTGGACATCAGACCTGAAGCAGGAATTTCTGAGTGAACTTCAGTGACCAAATAACTGGCTGCAATTTTCTCCATTGCTTTCAGATGCATGAGTTTTTGAAGGATTAATCAAGTGCTAGAGACTTTCTGAGCTGCTTACCAGTTGCAAATGTATCTAAATAATCTTAACTTCATGTTACAACGTTATATTTTAAAGTTGTAGGTGAGAAGATATGGGAAAGTGTGTAAACCCCATCTCTCTCTTGCTCATGTTTTGAACATTAATCATATTTTGCTGGCGTACACAAGCAGCATGTATTTTGTAACATACATGGAGAAAATACATGCTGGTTGGCACGTCAGTGGCTTCATCCATTCCTGTCCTTCTGTAACTGTCATGCATTTCATCAACTAAAAGTTCTTATGTCCTGGGAACTGCAAAGAAGCAGCTTCAGAGCTGTGCCAAGCAGAAGTCCTCTTGGTGCTGCCCATGAGATTTGCTCTTGTCTGCCATGTGCTCATCCACCCGCTTTGCTGATTGTGAAGGATTGATGCATCAATCTTAAAACTTTAATAAATTATGCATGTTTTCCTAGTTTTTCCACTTATATTTTTAGCTACTACTGCTCTTTTGCAGAACTTTTGGGTTGACTCATTTATCTTTGCTGCAGGTGATCTTTCCATGGCTGTAGATGTTGATTCCCTCGTTTTTCTCTCTTGACTAGGCTTTTTTTACTGAAAGATATATGCATGAGCATCCGGAAGATCATGACAAGATTGAAAAACTGAAGGACCTGATAGCTTGGCAGGTAAGGATTCCAAGTCCTGTTGGCCACACGAAGGCAATTTAGTGCCACTGTTGAGAAAATTCAGACATCAAACTATTTACTCTGCTTCTTTGTCATGTAAAACTGACTTAGAGTTTGAGCTGAAGCTCATCTTTTCAGATCTGACATCATTTGTCATTTGACAAACCCACAAGGATCAAATATGATTAACCTCTTTTTTTTTTTCCTCTTTTTTTCTTACTTTTTTTTTAGCCATAACACAGTGACAATGTCTCATGTTGCTCAAACAAGAAAGATTTTGTAATCACGTTGGTTGCCATTATTAGCAATTAAGCTTTGCATTTTAACTTTCTAAGGCTGATTTTAACAACATTTTGGCAAACATTCAGGTTAAATGTTTAATACTGAGTCCCTCCTCCTGTGCACATGCTTTGTTGCAGCATTTCTTCACATGTTCACTTCTTTCTTCCAACAAGATGTTTTCTGTTTGTGAATATTTGTAAATATGTACCTGTACATAACATGTACCTGTACATTTTAGCACAGAATGTTATATATGAGAATAAAAAAACTGATTTATGTGCAGAATAGTAAAATTAATGTGGACACAGTGGAGTCATCGCTTCGTTTGCTGTATAACTTCACATAATACTCAATAATGTGATATGTATAGATAGATATAGATATGATAATATTCATGATTCACTAATGCCACATCATAGAGTGAAATTACCTGATATCTCCTTGGTGGTATATTAGAGTAGGAATGATTGAAATCTAAGATCACACAGATTAATAATTCTGAACCAGCAAGAGAACGCAGATTTCCAGTTCAATGCCTTAAACAAAGCAGGAATCTCCTTGCATAAAGAACAGCATTTATATGTACTGAAGAATATTTTGCAAGACAAACAGGAAACAATTCCAGTTCTATTCCAAAGTCATATGCTAAACACTTTTCAGAGGTCTCAAGATGATTTTATGATAACAAGAAAAAGTACCAATACGACTGGAACTGTTTTTCCCTTAGAAGAACAAAGTACGTAGTTGCCTTTTTATATTCAATTTTATTTTTCTAATAAAGGCAATAATTTACATTTCTATAGGATTCAGTTTTAAAGGTAACAGAAGCAAAGACAGAGAATTTAAAAAAGAAAAAAAGTTTTAAAAAGGAAAGAAAGAAAGAGGAGAAAAATCACCCTCTGAAGGCCAGAAAACTATCACTGAATAGCAACTCTTTGGGTCTGAAAAAAAGATATTTATTTATTCATTTTTCTCTGAGCTTTTACAGAAGATTAGATTTGAGGAGCTTTAAGTTCTATAGAGGAAAATAATTTGATCCCAGAAGACTGACTTCATGTCAGCTCTCTCCCTTTGCCTCTGATAGCACTACTTCAAATGAATTCCAGCACAGATTCACTTTGGTGATGTGTGTTCAAATAGCATTACAATTTGAAAATATATATCGAACCTAATCACAGTGCTTTTTTAATTAGACTCTGGTTTTAAGTACATAATATCCCATCAGTGCTCTGAAAAAAAAAAGAGGCGGGAAGATGGAGCAAAGTGATCAGAAGAAACTGTTTTATTTATCTGAACAGGTGCAGTCATTTCTGAGTGGAAGTCAGCACTGAGTCTTGTGTACATCCAGTGTATCCTAAGGCTTAAATATATTTCCAACGTAATGTCAGTGTTCAGAACACATGATAACTTGATGGCAGCGGGGAGGGGAGCTGGTCTAATGAGCAAGTTGTTATGGAAACATTCCAAACGAAGGCAGTGGTTTGTTTTCATCAATGGCTTGACAGTGATTGAAAGCCAAAATGAGTTTTCATTTTTCAATAATGTTGGTTCTTGGAGTTTTATAATCACACAGAGATTTTCTTTATGCTCTATAAATCAATCTGGGTATATGAAATAGTCTGACAGTTGTATTATCAGCTGACTGTTTAAATTCATTTTTTCTGTCCCTTCCCCTGCCTTTGTCTCAGTTGTGCTTTGCATTTTGTGCACTGTCCTCTTACAATTCCCATAAATTTCAATTACACAGTAATGATTTTAATTAAAATAATTGTTTCTTTCCACTGTGTTTTCGTATAAATATCATTACTAAAGCAAAGTGCATTTTTACCCATCTTAGTCCTTTCTCCCTTGAAGAATTAGTTCCCGTGTAACTGTATCATTTCAAGCTGCTTATGTTAATGAAATGAATAACTAATGTTGGTCACTTGGCATTTAGCTGCTGTATTTACAGCATAAAAAACCAACGTCATAAAGATTTGATACTCCTTCTACATTGCTAAAAAAATAAAATAAAATGGTAGCATTCACAGCCTGAACTTTGCAAACACACTTTGTGTTTCAAGGCCAGGCTGGATGTGGCTCTGGGCAGCCTGGGCTGCTGGTTGGTGACCCTGCACATAGCAGGGGGTTGGAAGTAGATGAGCATTGTGGTCCTTTTCAACCCAGGCCATTCTGTGGTTATATTACCATTTCAGATGGTGAGAGATTTTAAGCTGTTAATTAAAATGCATGTACCTTGTTCATAGTTTTTGACAGCAGATCAAGATTTTAAACGGAAAAAAAAATATTAAAAAATGAATAAATCGAGGACTAATATTAAGTTGCAGTGCAATTTTCAAATTAACAAATGGGGCCTGGTGGCAGTAATGTGATTTTGAGCTGGTTTCCCCTCTTATTTGCCTCCTTGTTTTCCAGTCCAGTTATTTAATGCGACCTTTGCTGCTTCCTTCCCCTCTCAAAAGCTCAGGTTACCCTCTAGGATGTTATGAAATGAAGCCATAAAAACTAATGCAGCCCCACTCACTCCTCAGCAGGAAAATGAATGGACAGGACGAGCAGCATGGCAGCCTGCCTCTGTCTCAGCATCCTGCAGAGGTTCATGCGGCTTTCAAGTTCAGTGATATGTAACAAGATTTCCCTTTTCCAGTGGTTAGAAATGAGGAGGAAGAATTTGGCAGCTAGCAGAGGAAGTTTGCTTCCATTGCAGAGTAACAGCCCCTTTCTTCTCAGTGCCTTTCAGCCTCCATGCCAAGGCTTGTGAAGGGTTGTTGGTGGGTTGTGTTAGAGTGAGGGTAGGATGGTTAGGTTGTGGTTGGACTCGATGGTCTTTAAGGTCTTTTCCAACTTGAGCAATTCAGTGATTCTGAGCACTTGGTGCCTCCCTGTGCCCATTCCCTGAGCAGCGCTTGTGTTCCTCAGCCTGCTGTACACCAGAGGTGCAGCCCTGCTTACCACCTTCACTCTGGCTGCACCCACAGTTTTTTTCTTGGTTGGGCCTTTCCCCTGCCAAAAACCACATCCTCTGCTTCGTATCCCTTCATTTTTTAAATCGGAGATGCCTGTTCCCTAGGACAGGCTCATTAATGCTCTTTATAATCAGCTCTGAGCCGGAGCCTCGCACCCCGTCTGGACTTCATCTTGGCCATTTGATTTTCTAAACCAGACCCCATTCAAAAGAGCCAGTGGGTTCCCTTAAATAAATGCACAACGTGACCACTTACCCTCTCAAAACAGCAGGGTCAGAATGGGGCCTGGTGACGCTGAACAACTTGAAATTCATTTACTTATTTTGAGCAGAGAAGTTTTCCAGGTTGTAACTTAAATTCTGTGGAGTGACTGTCCATGCAGCTACCAATAGAAGTAGCTGCAGTGAAAAGTGCTGTCAGTGTTGGGACTTCTCTTGGGTGTATTCTAGGAAAAGGAATGGTGTCCGTTTAAGTGGTGCCCAAGCAGAGAGCCATCTTGGTGACGTTTCTTGAGTTTGTTCATCTGTAGTTTGTCTGTCTTTATTATTCTCCTTACTGATAAAGCTATTTGTTCTGATTGCTGCTCAGTCTTACGAGAAAAGTCTGTTTTTAATCAGTATCATGATTTAATTATGAATTATTAAGAAGCAGCCTCTTAGCTTGGTTGCTGCAGAGGATACCTAAGTCAGAGTCAGAGCACTGTGTGGGCTGGAGCGGACCTGGAAGAGGAAATATTTTTCATAAGCTGCAGATAGAGAACTCTAATGGTATATCTGGATTGCCGTGGGAATGAAGATGTCTCTCTTAAAACATTTTAAAAGGTCAGCTACACCTCCACACTATGAACTAATTATATAAACCTGTGTTGGCATGGGTATTTTGTGACAGAAGTCTTGCATATAAATGATTATTTTCAGTTACAAAAAAGGTCTGATTTAATTTTTCCTCTCCTGTTTTGTTCCCAAAGAAAATCAAGTATGTTTTTTTCTAAGGGGAAACGTAGCTTTCAGTATATAAAACTATATAATTTATTAATAAATATTACTCTGCAATATATACTTGTCCAGGGATGCTGCTCGTTTGCAGCTTTAGAAGAGCATTTACTAAAGAAAGCACACAAATATTTTTTCCTTCAAGGTTTTATATTCTTTGAACCTGGGAAAGGAGGGGTTTTAATAACCCAGTGTGCAAGTCGTCATTCATCAGTTTGCCATTTGAAAGGGCAGCAGGTATTGGGGTTGTGAATGTGGCCTGATAGGAATATTGTGCTGCCAGGTGAATTCAGCTGCTGCTCTGCTGTATGAGGATGGGGCAGAACTATGGGTATATTAATTCTGAAGGACTGCAGGTAACAATTGAGAAAAGGAAATCAGATACAACATACTTCTTAGACTTTTTTTTTTTTTTTTTTTTTTTTTTTTTTACTATGTTGTGTTTCATAGACAGTGGCTTTCATTAGTGCTGATATTCTACAAGATCTTTCCCTCCTCGTAAAACAAATGTGGGACTTTTGCCTGTACCATCAATGGGAAGGACTCTGTGCACTAAGGGCTGTGTGTTGTGCTTTGCAGATCCCATTCTTGGCAGAGGGCATCCGCATTCATGGTGAGAAGGTGACGGAGGCACTGAGGCCATTCCATGAGCGGATGGAGGCTTGCTTCAGGCAGCTGAAGGACAAAGTTGAGAAGCAGTATGGTGTCCGAGCTGTGGTAAGTCAGCTGCCAGCATCATGCTTCAAACAGATTGGGCATTTCTCTACACTGTCGGCAACTTTGAATTACTCTGTTTTCACTGATTAAAAAAGTAGTGTTGATGCAGCTGCGGGGTGACCTCATTGCAGCCATCCAGTACCTAAAGGGAGTCTACAAACAGGAGGGAGTCAACTCCTTGAAAGGATGGATAACAGCACGACATGGGGAGTGGTTTCAAGTTGAAGGAGGGATGATTTAGGTTGGATGTCGGGGGGAAGGTCTTTACAGAGAGACTGGTGAGATGCTGGAACAGCTGCCCAGAGAGGATATGATGCCCCGTCCATCCCTGGAGGTGTTCCAGGCCAGGTTGGATGGGGCCCTTGGGCAGCCTGGGCTGCTGTTAAATGTGGAGGTTGGTGGCCCTGCCTGCAGCAGGGGGGTTGGAGCTTCATGAAGTCCCTTCCAACCCAAGCCATTCTGTGATTTAGTTCCTTTCCAGATGTCAGAGCCGTACAGGCCTGCAGTGATGTGCAGCCTGCATCTTGGATTTTCACACACCTGGCACTACCCTAAATGCAGGCAATAGATAGCTGCTCCTCTTGGGGGTATAGTGGTGCTGGAGTTGATGCTTTTGCCATTCCATCAAGTGATTTCAGTTTCTGCTTCATTTTAAGTCAGAGAATGGAAGTTGGTGGTGTTTCCAATGATTTGTTGTTTCACTTTTGAGCATAACCCATAGAGATAGAAGGCCAAAAGCCAGCATACAGCTTCCTAATTGAGAAAGTAATTGACGATGCTGTCAAAAGCCACACAGTTTGCATGCTGTTGTATGAATCAGTTTGAATAAACAGGACCCAAGAAGCAAATGGTTAGAGTTGCTCTAGGTCTGAGTGCAGAGCTCTGTCCTAACAGTGCACTGAAGACTGCTGGACTTAGTTTTATCTTCATCTGCTGGAAGAACTGACAATGTCTCCTTCAGAGATTGATTTCATTTTTTCTATAGCAGTGACTTTTTTTGTAATAGGACAACTGAGATCTTATGTGGAGCTTACCAGCCTTCATAGTGTCCTTCTACGTGCTGCTCCATTAATAGTCCTTTAGATCACTTCTTCCTAATACACTTAGGTAGAGGAAAAGATCAAATAATCATTTATTCCCTAGGAGAACAGAAGTAATTGACATTAATGACACTTGCATGTCAGTCACTTCAGCAATACACGTTTACATCACCAGACAGATGACTGGAAATTCATACACAGGTGGTGTTATCTTCCTCATTTCGCTCTGCCCACCAGTAAGAATTGTCAGGATTGATGGAGCTTTATCGCTTCTGTCTTCTCTGTACAATGTCAATTTGCCAGTAGTTGACAGGGTGGAAAATCTACCTGTAATTAAACAGCGTGAGATTTGTATTTGTTGACTGAAAGAGTTCAATTATTTTATGCATATATCAGTTATTAATGACTAACAAAGCTTGTATAAATATTCAGAACTCTGAAATTGTCTGCGTGAAAAAAATAAACCTTCCATATATTTTCTTCTTCACCTGGATGTCACTCCGTCAACTGGCTCTCCTGACTCAAAGCTCCTCTTACTGGTGTGCTTGGGTTTTGGTTTTGTTTTGTTTATTTTGTTTAATTTTGAAAAACAAAAACAGAAGAAAACTTCATCTAGCATTTTCTATAGGATTGATCTCCTTGTTGTTAAGCATAATGCGTAATGAACATAACGTGGAAATAAAACCATTGAACCTTTCTGCGTTGCTTTTGGAGCCAGATGTCAGCTTCACCGTGACTTAAAAAGTAAACTCACATCTCTCATATGTTGCTTTGTTGTAGCCTTCCAGCCTAGATGACAGACGAGGCAGTCGGCCAAGGTCCATGGTGAGGTCTTTCACGATGCCATCGTCTTCAAGGCCGCTGTCAGTTGCCTCAGTGTCATCCATCTCCTCAGACAGCACTCCTTCTCGGCCGGGCTCAGATGGGTGCGTAAGGAGCGACCGTGCAGGGTTGTGTCTTGTAAAGCAAGATTTGGTGTGCAAATCTTAGGATTGTCACCACCCCGCGGGCAAAACGCCAACAGAAAAAGATAGAAATGTTTATCTCAAAATATATTTCTTTTTTTTTTTTTTTTTTTTTTTTTAAACAAGAATAAATGTAATGCTGCTTCTGGTACTCTTTCAAACAAAGCCCCCTAAGCATTCAACCCAGATCACCAGCACAACAGGAGATAAGTTTTCTCGTTTTGAACTATTGCAAGTGTAATTGTTTGGAACCGATCGCTTGCAAAGTACGTGATGAGATGAGCTCAGCCAGTCTTGTAGCAGTAAACAGGTGGGGCTCAGGAGAAGGAAGGGATTAGCTGCCTGCTCAGTCATTTCTTCTCACCCATGCTGCCAGAGGGAAAGCTGCTTATGGCAAGATTGTACTTCAAGGGTTATCAAGATATTTCACATGAGAACTGGGAATTCTGTTGATAAGCCCTGTCTCACAGTCACATCCCTCAAAAGAAATAATCTGTTTTCTTCCTGGGCTTTCCGCTCAGCCTCAGAACTTCCCTTTCTCTCCTCCTCCCCCCAGGCATATTCACAATCCAGAAACTCAATATTTGACCGAGGCAGCAGCGTTGTAAAAGCCTCCTGAAGGGCTGCTAACTTGCAGAGATGTGCTAGAAATGTCAGTGCCCCTCGTGCACCTTCAGAGGAAGTTATTACCTGACTAGAGAGTAAAAGCATCAAGTAAAATTAAGTACAGCGCCCAAGGACCAACATGATACTTACCTTGATTACAAGCAGTTTATGCACACATTGGGAATGAACTGCAAACAGGGCGAGGTTTGGATCTCATTACATTACCCTCTGTAACACATGCACAGTGAATCATGTTTATATAAGCGTAGGACAGCAGAGCCAGTAATGCACTTTCACTAATTCAGCTATGGAAGTTGCCTTGCTGGAATTTCAGCATGCCTGCCATCCCATGTTACTGGGCATGTTATTTTCTTATTTCAGAAGGAAATGATTTTTTCCTCTTCTGTTCTTCATCTTCAATTCTTTCCCTTCCTGCCTCTTTCTCTTTTTCACTTCGAAATCATTACCTGTATCTTTCTTTCTCCACTGAAAGCTGCTTTTGTAATTTTTGCTTCTCCATGCCAGCTTAAGTAGGTGTCAGTTAGGAGATTTTGAGGATCTAGTGAGTCCACTCAATACGTGCATAAGAGCAAAACTCATATGGATCACAGTGCAGCTCAGCTCCTGCTCTGAGCCCCTGGGCTGTGCAGCTGTAATACATGCAGAGAGAACATAGCAAAGATCATCACTTAGACATGAAGAAGTGCTCATTTGCTTGATCAGTTGAGCAGGAGAGGAAAAATCATCAGATGTAAGTAATACAATGGAAGAGCTCTAAAATGCAGATGACAATAAGAATGCTGTGGGTACTTTGTCACTCCTCACTTGGAAGGAGTTATGTGGTGTCCCAGTCCAAAGTTGATTGGGTTTATAATCATGTGGCCTTTCTTACTTTCTGTTGGCCCAGTCTTCAAGATACATTCTTCATAGACTGGAGATAGAGCTAAGAAAAGCAACTAAAAATGGAGCTGACAGTGCCTTACCCCTATCACCCACCCAACTTGTATTTTATACCATCTCCCAGCTGGCCCAGATTTCAGAGCCTTTTAACAATAAGAGCTCAAAGCAGACGTTGACACAGTATCTGTTTTACAACTCCCAACTCTACGTATAAATAAACCTCCTACTTTAAAGAGAGACCTTTGGTTTAACCGCTGCTCAAAGTGGGACTGCTGAAGCACGGTTGCAGGCACTCACAGCACCAGCTGGGCAAAGGGGAGTCCCACCCCACCTGAGTGTTTTGAAAGGTCTCATGTACTTCCAGTACGAGCATGGCATGCTGGCCCATTTTTGTCACTGATACACTGCGTACAAATAATTAATAGTACTAATAATAGTAATGCCTAGAAGGGAAGCAATTAATCACTGTGTGAAGAGTGGCAATTCTTTTTGTAAACCTACAAGCTGCCCTCAAGGCAGAGGCACAAGTGGGTGGCTGTCACTGCAATCCAGCACTGCAGGAACAGCCTGGGTGCACAGTTCAGGTGGCTAAAATAACTGCACTGTGCTGGGATGCCTGCACTCACATCCAGGCTTTGCCACTGACGTGCTTTGCAGCCCTGAGTAAGTTGTTCCCCTTCCTTTTCTCTCTCTATAAAATGGGACAGAAGGTGTTTTTTAGAGTGCTTTGATGCTGTGAGATAAGGAAACTGCCTAACAGCTAAGCTTGCAGTTTTCCAGCTCCTATGATTTTGGTTATAAGAGCAGTGGTTCGGGAGGCTGTTGCCACAGGTTCTGCTTTCAGCATTTTTCCTTCAAATGAAACTGGAAAACATGCACTGAAAGTTGTAGCAACACCACCACCAAAACTGTCCCCGTGCAACACAGTGCAGGATAATTTGCTGCTAGGTGTCACCGTAGTGAAGGTGATAAAGAGCATCCCTGCAGGCTGTCTGAAATGTGAAGCCTCCAGTACTTCACAGTTGGCCTTCACACGTGTGTCTTCATGGCACTCCAACTGCTACTCCAGTATTAATTATAGAATCACTCAGGCTGGAAAAGACCTTAAAGATCATCGAGTCCAACCACAACCTACCCGTGCTACCCTAACTAACAGACTAAATCACGTCCCTGAGCACCACATCCAAACAGTTGTTGAACACATCCAAGGATGGCGACTCAACCACCTCCCTGGGGAGCCTATTCCAGTGCTTAACAACCCTTTCTGTAAGGAAGTTTTTCCTGATGTAAATTAGTAAGTACCAAGTTTTAAAAAGTTTTAAAGTTTCCTTGGTTGTTGTTCTTAAGATTTTTTTCTGATGTGATAATTTGTGGCGTGCTCTTAAAATCCGTTGGTGTAACTTTAACTGGGTTGTGTTTTTAGTACTGTGTTTAGTTAATATGAATTCTAAAACGCTTTTGCTAAGAATATTTTAGCTAGTTAAGATTAGAATGTCTCTTTGTATTTTACTGAAAGTAGTCCTTAAAAGTCGAGATAAAAGAAAGCTCCCTTTAAATTACTGAGCAAAAAATTAGCTGAGAAGAGCTCCTGTGTGATTTAAATATTCTTTCACTATAATATAAAAGTTATTAAAAAAAAAAAGTTTTACTTGAAAAATTCATGAAGCCCCTGAGGATTTTCTTTTTCACTGAAGAGAAGAAGTCTGGTACTGTAGAGTTTGCAGAGATGGTGGTAGTGCATGTCAGCCTTGCGTGTGTTTGCACACTTGGAGCACACGGCTGCAGGTGTGGAGCAGCCATTCCTTAGAAAGTAACCTGGCTCCTCCTGACTGTCTGCACAGTCACTATTGAGATTCTTTGTAATGTCAGAGGGTGCTGAGGCACTGGAACAGGTTGCCCAAGGAGGCTGTGGATGCCCCATCCCTGCAGGCATTCAAGGCCAGGCTGGATGTGGCTCTGGGCAGCCTGGGCTGCTGGTTGGTGACCTGCACACAGCAGGGGGTTGGAACTGGATGGGCACTGTGCTCCTTTGCAACCCAGGCCATTCTATGATTCCATGATCTCATCCCCATCAGTGTGTGCTGTAGGTGAGTCTATCTGTGCGTACTTCTGTCAATATATATCCTAACAGTCTTTTATTACAGACAGGAATGGTTATTGTTTCTGTAATTATGCCTCTATATTTCATACTTCAGTGCAGTGAATGGTGTGATGCTTTTTGCTCTTCCATGAAAACAGACTGTAATTTGGATGAGTTACGGGCATTAGAAAGCTTTTTGTGTTGTGCATGTTCTCACTACATCACTACAAAACAGTGTCTCAAATGTTAACCTTCTTCTAGGGAATAAAAATATCTATAAGAACCACAACAAAATGCCTAGGAGGAATTTGAGGACTTGCCTACTTTTAAATAAATCTGTACTTTTTTTTTTTTTTTTAATTTATATTTAATTTAAATTTAAATGCTTTAAAAAAAAAGCAAAAGTGAAATAAATCCTTGATGCTATTTGTAAACATGCAGGCTGCCCAAGGAGCTTGGGTAGGGAGAGTGGTCTTTGCACCCTTCCTTCCGCGGTGCTGGTCTCTGTGCCACCATGCATACCATGGCTGTGCTGAATTAGAAGCTCATTTTCATATAAACCTCATACAGAGGAACTCAGGAGTTTGTGTCCCTGTGAAATAGGAGATACACCACAGAGCAGGGAAATTGGTGTTACTGGTCCTGGAGCAGCTCTGCGGTCCGTTGTAAACGCAGGCGGTTCTGATTGTTCTGACCTTCTGCCCACACCTTTTCTCTCAGCTGAGGTTTACTGGATTAGGGAACCATCTTTAACCAAAGTGAGACTGCTGGGACTATGAAAATTAAAATGAGGCTTTTTGTAAAGAGCGTTTTATTGATCTAAGCTGCTAATTTTCCTTAGGTTTGTGCTTGAGCCCCTCCTGCCAAAGAAGATGCATTCCAGATCTCAAGATAAATTGGACAAGGATGACCTAGATAAAGACAAGAAAGAAAAGAAGAAGGAGAAAAGAAACAGCAAGCATCAGGAAATATTTGATAAAGAATTTAAGTCTACTGATATTTCTCTGCAGCAGTCTGAAGCAGTGATCCTCTCAGAAACGGTAACTTTAACACATAATGCTTTGCCCAATACTGAGCAGTGTTCTTTCTGGTTTTAAGTTAAAATGCTGATATTTGCAATCTAGTTTTAATTTAGTTTTTAATGTTTAAACAAAAAATAACTCTAATGGAGTGTGCTGTGTGGTTAATGTATTTGATAATGAATCAAGCATACAGAGTTTATTTACAGAGTAAAAAAAAATCATGGTGTCCTTGATGAAAATCTTCCCAAAAGCTACATATGATCGTTTGGTTAAAGGAAAGGAGGTGTGTCTGAAGTAAAATAATGCTACCATCTTAGCAGCCTTTTGAATTTATGTTTCCCAGCAGATTGTGATGGGTTTTCTCATATTTCAGCCAACCACTGCAAGATGGTTTGGTGGAAATGTTACAAGGTCATTTTGTGCATGGAATTTCGTGCTCTTGAAAGGCTGTTTTGAGCAGAAAATCGTAAGCAGTTCCACCGGTAGCTGTGTAAAGTATATTAACTACAGGACATATCTCTTTTAAGCCCTCTCTTCTTGGCGTATATTTGATTCACTGAAACTGTCCTGAAGGCTTAGGTAACTTCAGAAGTTTCAGTTCTGAAATGGAAAGCAAGTCTGCTCTAAGCTGGAGCAGAGGTTTCATGAACTACCCGTAACCTCCGGATCTCTGCCTGGACACCTCTTTGGAGGCCAATAGTTTAAAATGTGCCCTCGAGAAATGAATGTTACTCTCTTTTAAAGACTTGCACATGGATTGTAGAGCCAACTTCTGATTCCTCAGAGTCTTTCGTTGGGGGCTCTGTTATTTACACTGGACTTTGGGAACACTTTCTCGCTGCCCATGAATACTGGATCCTCTGAGTCTGTTTGCTTGGTTTTTGTAGCTCAGTGTTGCTTATAAACTCAGTCAGCTCCTGTATTTTCTGGGTTTATTCTTTCTTTTTCATCCAGAGATGATCTCATCTCTCAGATACGTGTCCTGACATCGTAGAAGATTACAGTCTGATTCTGTTTGATATGGCCATAGGCACTCTACTAGCTTAGCAGAACTTCATAAAAACCCTTGGAATCCCATAGGCTTTTCACCCAAACCTCCTTGAAGTCAGTGACAATTTTCCCATTGACTTCTGTAAATTCTGCATCAGTCCTTTTGTTTAAATGGGTATTGCTGCTACCATTGCCAGCCAGATAAGTATTGTTTTCAGAGAGCAAATAAATTTTGCATCAGTTTCCATAAGTCTTTTTGGCACAATGAGTTCTACTCTGGAGATACTAGGCACATTGGATGTAAGCATATTTTGACTAAACCTGGACATTAGCGGGGAGTCAGCTCTTTACAAGGGTAGATAATGGCAGGACAAGGGGAAATGGTTTTAAGTTGAAGGAGGGAAGATTTAGGTTGGATATCAGGAGGAAGTTCTTTCCTATGAGAGTGGTGAGGTGCTGGAACAGCTGCCCAGAGAGGCTGTGATGCCCCGTCCATCCCTGGAGGTGCTCAAGGCCAGGTTGGATGGGGCCCTGGGCAGCCTGGGCTGCTATGAAATGAGGAGGTTGGTGGCCCTGCATGTGGCAGGGAGGTTGGAGCTTGATGATCCTTGAGGTCCCTTCCAACCCAAGCCATTCTGTGATTGCAGCAGCAGAGCGCTTGCTCCCCCCAGATCCCTGAACAGACATGCAGAGGCTGTGGGAGAAGATCTCAAGCCACAACAGAAGAAAGTTTAATTTTGAAACAGCTCAGTTGGATGTGCACAGATCTAAGAGACCAGATGGGAGGCATCCAAGGATGGTGAAAAAGCCAGCTGATGTCACTGCAAGATCACTGTCATCTCTGAAAAAATCTCAGACCCTTGCCACAGAGCATCCCTCTTGGAAGCCATTTCCAAGCACATGAAAGACAAGAAGGTGGCTGGAAGTAACCAGCCTCTGTTCACCAAGGGCACATGCATTTACTTAGGATCATAGAATATCCTGAGTTGGAAGGGTCTTACAAGGCTCACTGAGCAAGACTCCTTGCTTCACACAGACACTTGTCCTCTTACATCTTCTAACTACTGCCACTCACTGCCAGTTTCAGTGAATGAAGCTCATCCCTCCTACCTCTTAGAATTCATATTCCTGTATGCATCCATACTCATTTTAACTCTTCATTGGCCACGTTGCAAATGTTACAAGGACCTTTGTAATCACTAAACTTCAGCATCATGAAAGGAAAGGAATGCAGTGTTCCTGGACCAGTATCTGTTGGAGGCAGAGAAGATCTTAAAAACTGGGAAGGGGAGCATGGTAGCCCTTCTAGGCACACTCCAATTTGTCATCTGAGGGAAAAAAAATGGGCAAAGTCCAATATGAGTTTTCCTCTCCTTCTCTAGTCAAGAGTTTTCAGTGCATGACTGTATGCAGTTTTCCCCTGGTTATAAAGATGAAGGGAAATTAGATGCCATAATTAGTTACTCACAGTTACTTTGAGTTTCTTGAAATCCACAGACCACTAATGTGAACCAGAGTTCATATTACTCTTTAAGTATCTGCAGATGAGAAGGGTTCCAAAATGACCACATCAAATTTTCATGGGTGTCAATGAGGCTCATTTTCTCTAGAGTGGGAGACAGAAGAAACTCTCTTTTGAGATTAGGTTACAGTGATTGGACAATTCCCATTGCTGTCTTCAGGAATTTTTGAAAGGTAATGTTAAGTAGCTTAAAGATAAAATTTGTCTGCTGTTAAAATTGCACTCAGGAGAGAGATGTCCCCTATTAATAATATAGAGGGGAAATCATTACCTTTTATGTGTAAGACCTCACATTTTCCATTGTTGTACTTCAATGAGCTGTGCTTTGTGCAAGTTCCCTTGCACTTGGGGAGAAGAATTCCAGCCAGCTGGATTTCTCAGCACCAACTCACACAAAACCCTTATTTCTCCTGCAGCAGAGGAGGAGGCTCAGCAGTCACCCCGTGTGCTGAGTTCAGCAGGGCTCTTCCCACGTGTCACCCAACATTGCCATCATCAAGTGATGGGTGATGTAAGATAGCTCGGGGTGATGCTGAAGGATGCATATCCACCTGGAAAACTGCACTCAGTACTGACACAGCTGAAGCAGAATAAGTGAGAACCTGTCGTGGATTTGGATGTGGAATTCATCAAAACAATCAGCTGCTCTCTTCAGCATGGAGCTGTCTGATGCCATGAGTATTCCTATCACTGCGGTGGACCTTCTTATGTAGGAACTATTTTTTTTGCAGTTAAATGAATCTTCAAGGAAGAGCATAAGAAGATTATACAACTGTGCAGAATTACCTCATCGAGCTCGTACTTAAAAAAGCAGCATTTGGAGCCGTTTTGTCTAGTCATGTGGCTTAAATACTTTTTTTTCAAATTCTCTGTACTTGGAATGAATTTTTTGACTGATCAAAACCCAAGCCCTAATTACAGAGATCTTGTAGTACTCTGATCTTATCAGAAGATAAATTAAACGCCTTTGGTATGTGAAGATCATCAGTACTGTCTTTATAGTTTTCTAGAGATTTATATCTTCTTTTAAGTATCACATGAACTTCTTTAACATAAATTCTCTTTGTTAGTTCTTTGATTCTGCGGGCTGATAGCAAATATAACACTGAAGTCAGGTATTTAACAGACCACTTGAAAGCTTATGTTTGTAATCAGAATAATGGCCTATACCTTTATTGATTTAGTGACATCTAACATTGCTCACCATTGATCTTGCTTTTGTTAGACTGAAGGGAAAAAAAAAGAAAAGAAAGAAATAGCAATGGGTTCATTATGGATTAGTTGTCTCCAATGAGTTCGTGTTGCCTAGTGGAACTGTGAACCTTGGAGAGCCAAGCTGGTCAGTCACGTACACGTTAAAATTTATTTTAGAGAAGTATCATAGAATCACAGAATGGCTTGGGTTGGAAGGATCATGAAGCTCCAACCTCTCACCACATGCAGGGCCACCAACCTCCACGTTTCATAGCAGCCCAGGCTGCCCAGGGCCCCATCCAACCTGGCCTTGAACACCTCCAGGGATGGACGGGGCATCACAGCCTCTCTGGGCATCTGTTGCAGCACCTCACCATAGACATAAATTTGATTTTGTGTTTTGCTGTATTTTATTTTATTTTTCTTGATGCTTGTATTGCAGGTTTCCTGAGTAGCTAGTACATTTTTCTTAGTTGCTTTTCTGTAATTTTATACTTCTGAGAAAGCAATTACCATGCTTATTCATTCTGCTAAAAATATGCTTGAAAAGATCTTGAAAGAAACCTTTGGATTCTTTGGGAGTTGAATTTTAGTATCAGGAAACTTCTGAAAGGTCGATCTGAGGTCTTCATGATAAAAGTTGCATGTTTCTGCTCACTTCTCTCAGAAGGGTTCTAGTGACAGCCTTTTGTGCTAGCCCTTCTAGGGTTTGTTTTCTGAAAACAGAAAGAAGTACTGCAGTGTTCTTCTTCTTCACTGTTGTCATGGGCAGAATGACAAAATCATTCAAAAAGAAAGAGTTTCTGCCTGCAGTTTCCATTTTGCCTTAATGCTGCACCATACTTGGTTGGCCATACTTCCCACCTTAACTTCAAGCTTCTGCTTCATTTTCTGTGGTCTCCTGAAAAGTGTTCCTCTCCTCACTGTGATTACTGAAAATACTGGGCCAGTGGATGGGTAGGAAAGAGTAGAGCTCAGGATTAAAAGAAATCACTGTAATAAAAATAGGAGATAAGGCTACAAGTATCGTTTTAGGGCTTCTGATGGGAAAATGTAAATGGTTTGTGAAATGAAATAATAGGGATATTACAGGGAATTAAATATAACCACAAACCTGCACAGTAAATAGTCTGCTTCTGGATGGATGATGTCTTCTTCAGGAGAATCTGTGCATGCAAACTATTAGGGAGAGAGGTTTTAATGGAAAGTAGAGCCATGTGAGGAGAAAGAAGAGATTGTGAATGATCATGTGTGTCAGTATGGAGGCTTACTTACCTGTAACATGTCAAGCAAGTATACTGAGAGTTGGATCTTTACTTCAGAAAGATATACCAGGCTCCAGGAAGGGGCATGCATTGAGCCTCATTGTGATACCTGGGGAGATGGGAAGAGCATTTGGAGCTCTAAAATACTGCATTAAATCAGAAATATTGCATGTTTCCATTGCTGTGTTACTGTGTAGGAAGCAGTGACCGAATGCAGCTATCACAGCCTGCTGCTCAGTAACGCTGTGTGTTCCTTTCTGCCTAATGCTGATGAGCTCTGGTGTTACTGGCAAGTGCGTGCCTGTATGTGTGCTGTGCTGCAGTGAAACTACTGGGGTTTTCATTTTTTGTCCCTCTGCAGATCAGCCCACTGAGACCACAGAGACCAAAAAGCCAGGTCCTCAACGTCATGTCAAGCGAAAGGCGTTTCTCCGTCTCCCCTTCGCCTTGCAGCTCCCAAGTGACACCACCTCCCATAACTCCACGGACAAAACTGTCTTTCAGCATACAGTCCAGTAAGTCTTTCATTAAATTTTATTTTCCTGGAGTATTTTCTTGCACAGTAACTGCCCTTAGGGAATTGCGTTTCCTGAGCATCACATTGAGCATCGCACCTGCGGCTGAGTTCTTCCAGTTACTCTTTCTGCCATCACCATGGAACGTAGCAGGCAGGAGCAAGGACAGCTTAGCTCTTACCCTCTTGTTCCTTGCATTCGCTGCCAACAAAAGTTATTTAAGCATTTTATGAAAGAAAAATGATTGCATTGATAATGTTTCTTTTCACTTTCAAATAATGATTAAAAATCACTTGTGTATTTAGTAATTGTCAGAAATCAGTGTTGAACTCAATTCTGTATCGGATTTTTGATATTTTATAGCATTAAAATCAGAAAAATAGCCTTCTGATATAATTGTACCTTTATGGAGCATTTATTTACTATTTAGTGAGTGGAAGCCAAATGAAATAAAGGTCTTTTCTAATGTTTGGTTTGGGTTTTGTTTGACATTGACATCTATCACTTAGGTTTTCTGTAAAAGATCATACGTTAGCCTCCACACTCAGGAAACCCTGTGGCAAATCTGAGTGTAATGTAACACATATTTCTTTCGTAGTGTTGTTCTCCAAAAACTGAGTCTCAGAGTTTTCTTTTGCTGGCCTGTGAAAAATGAATTATCTTTTTGGTATGCGTACCCGAATCCCAGTGCAGCAGGCTAAATGTTAGCAAAGAGGAGAATAGATGAAAAGAAGAAAAAGATTCTTACTCGATGAAGATTATTTTGTCTTACTTGCTTTTCTGACACTTAAATCCTTTTCTCTTAAATAAGAAATGTTTTGGAAAGTTCTTGTTGCCAATTGCAGATGGATGTCCTGTGAGCGGGGAATGTGTCTGTTCCACACACCTATAGCAACAGAACTGCCCTCTAAATGATTTGAAACTGTTGGTTACAAAGATATTGTGAAAGAGGAATAAGCAAATGGAAATCCGTGCAACCTTTGCTTAGCCAAACACCCCAAGCAGCTGTTTGCATAGTTCTCCTTTCTTTCTGTCATTGATAGCTGAAAACTATAAAGCTATTGGCAAACTAAAAACTGAAAATGCAGACAATTAAAGTACATACATTCCTGCAAAAAAAAATAATAATTCTTGGGATGAGATCATTTCTTTTTATACATAACTTATTTAAGCCAACTTAATCTCTTTCTTTAAAACAGTATCTGAAACTTTTGTGTGTGTTTGAGAATGTTTGCATCTATTTACATGAGTTTTAGATGCATTACATAAAATAAGTTTAGTTACTGCTAAGTACATGAGACTTGTCCATAGCTGCCTGAGGAGTTACAGCAATGAAATTCTGTGGAATTCCCAGGATAAAAAAGTTACTTGGGTGTACAAATTGGCTAAAAGCAGTTAATAGGTTGCTAAGTAATATTGCTTGCTTGTTAGCAGGCAGTTTAGGAGAATGGAGTGTAAAATTTGGTCATTAGGTTAAGATGAAAAGAAGTCATGCAGCTGATCTCCTGCCAGCTCAAAGAGATTCTCAGGGGCAATTGTCCAGTAAAGAATACATATTCAGACCTTAGCGGTCCGATGAAACGCCTTGAATGATGAGAGCAAAACAGAAAGGATGGGTAAGAAGTTGTAGAAGGAGAATTAACAGGTTTTGAGCAAATAGACCTCTTAAAGCTTAACAGTGAAAATTAGTGATGTTTGTGTTCAGTGCTTTTTTTCTGCAGTAGGCTAGGTGACTGCTGGATTTCATTAAACTGTGTGAGAAGTTAGCTCCTCAGGCTATTTTTATTTTCATAGGATCATAGAATCATAGAATGGCTTGGGTTGGAAGGGACACCAAGTGTCATCAAGTTCCATGTCCCCTGCCACCGGCAGGGCCACCAGCTCTAGATCTGGCACTAGACCGGGTTGCCCAGGGCTTCATCCAACCTGGCCTTGAACACCTCCAGAGATGGGACATACACAGCCTCTCTGGACAGCTGTTCCAGCACCTCACCACTCTCATAGTAAAGAATTTCCCCCTGATATCCAATCTAAACTCTCCTTGAGCTTAAAACCATCTCCCCTTGTCTTATCACTACCTACCCAAGTAAAAAGTGTTATTTCCTCTGCAGCTTATGAAAGCATTGCTCACTTGTCTTTCCATGGGTCTTCCAAATGGATAAGATCTGGAAGAGTATTTCGCCCTGTGAAGGAAAGGGTTGATTGAGCACCTAACAAAATTAGTTTTACATCCTCTTGGTAGCACCCATTAGTCTTCATGCATTGCTAGAGATGAAGTTAGCAGACACCGTAGCATCGTGTGAGATTTTAAGATGAAGTATTTAGAGCAGTTAAATCTGGCTACTAACAGAATGGAAGGAGTGGATTTCTGATGTATGTCTATGAGTAGCAGCATGTGGTTATGGTGATGTTCAAGTCTTCTCCCAGGGAGACTAGAAACATGACTTGTTTACAGTACATGCCCAAGGAAAGATTCCCTCTGTGAACCAGAATCTGAGGTTCTGGTAAAGTTACAACTCTAAAGAAAATGCCATTTTTGAAACATCTCCCAGTGCTATCCTAAAAGGCATGGGGGGAAAAAAGCACGAAGAAGTACATATGTACATATGTACATACATGTGGGGCTGTAGATGAGACATAGCACAGTCAAGGAGCCTTTTTTTCTGTGAGGTGTATGTCCTTAAAAGTCTGTGAGCTGACACACAGCGTGGCTGGGAAGTGCATGCAAAGTGATTGGGAAAGTTCATTGGCAGCATCAACATGTCGATAGAAATAGGCTGTGTTGTCATGCAGTTCTGTTCTGGTGATGTGAGCTAGTCAAAGTAGAGTCTGGTGGATGTGTATAAAAGGAAGTATTATTAATACTGGAATGGCTGAGGAGTGGAGAAATCAGCTGTGTAGGAAAAGAAGGATGAGAAACAGAAGCAGTGGAAAAAGAGATGAGAAATGTAGGATGAACGCCACTGTTCAGCCTGATGTAGGAGAAACCTCTAAAAGTTTGAAGTCCCAGGATGGAAAATATTCTTGTTCCTGATGTAGTGAAAGTCTGAGTGAAAGGAAGGGTAAAAATCACAGTTTTCCGTGACAAATCAATACAGCCTTACTGTTAAATTGTCTTGGTGAGAAGCCGTGTTAGAGAATAATAAGAGGGCACTTCTTACAAGGTATGGATAGAAATCTTGCGATAAAAATATCTGAATACCACCGTCCTCCAATGGTTTTACAAATCATTCCAGTAAAATAAGAATAATACTTTCTTCATCCCTCAAATGAAAAAGCTCGCCCTAATTGACCAAAAAATAAATAAAGTTTCTTATCTCTCTGAGCTCGCAGTGGGTTTTGCCTGCGTTCAAATGACTGAGTTACCCTGGAATACACCATGGGTGGATTTCTACACAGGAACATATGTATCACTCAGGCTTCAATAAACTTTATCATCCCTCAGGCTGTTCCCCTTTACAGCAGCACGTACCTGCTAGGATTTATCTGCTAAGAAAAGGGAATTTTCTACCCAGCAAACAGTACTAATAAATGTTCTGTGCCTTTTCTTGCGTGCGTTTATTTACTCAGCAACTAATGACTGCTCATTTATTATAGTTACCTGGAGTTCGAATTTTTTTGAGAGAGATGTAGTTAATTACAGGCTTTCATTTGTGCATTTTGTTAACAAGAAGCTTTTATTTTACTGTTGGAAAGTAAATAAAGCTTAGCTCAATTATTCTTTCACTGCGCTTACCAAACTTCTGTTGTTAATTCAAATAAAATGTGTAAGTGCAGAGCTTACAGCTGAGAAAGTTATATTTGCCAAGTTATGTATATTTTGGTGTGACATCTGAATGGAAATGTGTTGTCATTTTTTGTTAAAAAGAGGGAATTGTTTAAGTATTTTGAGTGTACCCTAAAAATTAGCCCAACCTGACTCCACGCTGCATACATCCCCCTCATAGGGCACTTGGTTCACTTGTTCTTTTCACATTTGAAATCCCTCATTTCATGAACTGAAGATAATTGTAGAGGCAACAAAGAGCAGAGGAAGATGTTGCCTGTGCAGCATTATCACAGAATCACAGAATGGCCAGGGTTGGAAGGGACCTCAAGGATCATGAATCTCCAACCTCCCTGCCACATGCAGGGCCACCAACCTCCACACTTAATACTGGACCAGGATGCCCAAGGCTCCATCCAAGAGTCCATAGAGCTGGAAGAGACCTTGAAAGGCCACCTAGTCCAACTCCCTGCAATGAACAGGGCCACCAGAGCTAAATCAGACTGCCCAGGGCCTGATTCAGCCTTGCCTCGAGAGTCTCCAGGGACAGAACATCCAAAACATCATTTTCCTTTTATCAGTGCTATAAGAATAGGCATAGTTGGGATCTTTGGAGTCTGCACAGTTATTGAGAAGTTAACCAAATGGTGATTTTTGCAGATCTGGAGCTGAACGGCATGTCTGGTGCTGACCTGGCCGACATCCCTCCTCCTCTGCCTCTCAAAGGAAGCATGGCCGACTATGGGAATCTCATGGAAAGTCAAGACTTGATCAGTCCAACAACATCCCCCCCTGCTCATCAAAGGGTGAGTCACAGAGACAATGATTTTCTGCCATTCTCTTTGCTTTGTTACTTGTTACAGCTCACAAAGTGTAACTCCGTGAATAGACATCAGCAGAGCCAAAGGTTTCTGCAGCTGCAAACAGCTGGAGTAGGAAGGAGCAGTGTTGCTCATTGGGGCTGATTTGAAGCAAGGTTTGGTTCATTCTGCTAGAGAAGATTCAGCAAAATGTCCTTAGATATGTTGGTAAGGGAGCTTAAACTGACAGAATATAGTCTCAGCAGCATATTAGTTTTTATAGCCTTTCAATCCTGTCTCAGAGATGGAAATAAAATATGTACCTGACGTCTTTCCCTTTTGGAGTTGTGTTTTGTCAGCATTCAATTGCCACTTGTTTCCTAGAGGCAAACATGCACTCTCCCTTTGAGGAAAGAGCTCAGAAACGTTCTTCATCATGAATGTGGTTCCCACCTTTCTGAACAAAATATGCTTTTTCAACGTAGTTTTCCTGCATCCTGGAAGCTTTTAGAAATAATCCAGTCTCTTTTCTGTGTAACAGAAAGTGTCACAGTGCATCACAGTACACAAGTCTGGCTTTTTCCATGTTTAAAACTCTGTGTACTAGCAGGAATTTAGTATTTTCAGGCTAAATGGGGAAAAAACAAGCATAGAAGTGACATCAGGAATGTAAGCAGTGTTATCCCTCTATTTCTGTCTTCTCTTGCATAATGCCAAGCTCTCCCTCTTGCCCATTTCACTGGCTTCTCTATCAGGGTCCAGCTATTGCTTAACCTGGGTACAGACCTCTAAGTGGAAAATTATGGAATGTACAGAATTTTTGTCTGAGGAATCAATCTTCATGAAGAAACTTAAGAAATTCAGATAAGCTTTCAGATTGGTTCAACTTCTTCCTTTATGAGTTTTGGAGTACACATTTTGAGACACATATGTTTTGTGGGATATACAAATGTAGGTTTCAGGTCATGGTAGTAGCTCAGGGTTGTAAACTTAAGTTCAGTTCTCAATCGGAAAGATGATGCAGTGAGATGATAAAATATGTGTGGGAAATAAAATCCCAGTGTCTGGGTTCTTTTCCTTTTCTTGCAAGGCTATTTGGAGGGTTTTTGTGCAGTGAAGAAATGGTAGATATTTGCAGTACTGTTGGCAGATGCTGTTCTGTTGTGCTGCTCACACAGAGTTTCGAAGTCTGGAAAATGAATCTAAAGCACATTTGTCACAAAGGCACAGGTAATAGTGCTAGAATTAATTTTAGAAGAAGTTTCTACCTCTGTTTTACTCTGCACGTTTATTTCATCAAGCTTATAGGGCAGAAACTGTGAAGAACATGAAGAAAACAAGCAGTGCTGGACTTGAAAGACCAGAGGAGTAAATTCTTATAGCTGCTGTGATTAAATCCCACTGGGCAGTTCTCAATGCCTTGTGTTTCAAATAACTGCATTCTCCATAACGTTATGATTCTCTGCCCAATGAACTGATGATCTTTAAAACTAGACTCATTTTTATCAGTGAAGAAAAATAAGTGAAAAAAAAAGAACAAACAAAAAAAAAAGTGGTAGATAAGATTATATCAGCAGCATTTGAATTGGATTTCTTTCTTTGCATAAGAAATTATTACGTGGTTTGCCATAGATGCCTTGCAGTCCATTAGGAGAAACAAAAAAAAAAAGCACTTTAGTGAACTGAAATGTGCATTGATAAATGCATCAGTACTTGAAACTTCAGGCAAGAGTGTCACTTAATGCCTGAGATTGTAATCTTAGATTATTTGGGGTCTACTCTTAGCTTAGTCTATTTAAGTCTTTTATCCCAGTAATCATCTAATTATAATTATCAGATTGTCCTCTTATTCATTGTTAACTATGATACCCTTATATACATTTTCTTGCACTGTATGATTTGTTCTGCTAAAAATGTTCTTAATAATACATGGGAACATAAAAAAGAAGCCTGCAACTCCTGCAAGGATTATTATTACATCAAGGGATTCCTCTAGGCACTTCTCCTTCTTTATGGGTTCATCCATACCCTTGCATATAAATCAACTGCCTACTTAGTATTCACAGCAAAAAGGGAAACTCAAAGAAAATAGACAGAGCAGCTCTTCCATTTGTAATAGCAGCTGTAACACATACTGAGCATCAGCTGGTGGTTTGACAGGACGACCTCCATCAGCCCAGCAGTAGATGGAGGATGTGGTGAGGAGGGTCGCAATGGTGCGTGCAGAGGGAACCCAAAGAGGCTGAGTGGGGCTGACAGTGACAGCACTAAGCACAGTGTGGACAAAAGGCTGAGGCTGGAAAACCAGCTGAAACTGTGAGGGCATCAGGCAGTTCGGAAGCAGATGCTTCACCATTTGTAACCATTTCTTCATTGATGTGAATCTCAGGAGGTTGCCATCAGGTTTCTGAGAGGTCCTCTCTTTCTTTCCTAAATGCTTCCCTCTTGCTTGATTGCTCAGGGCAGCAGGGGCTGGTGCAGACTGCAGGGCAACTCAAGTCTCACCTGGGAATCCCAATGCTGGTTAAAGGTGGGCCAGGAATTGGACCCAGCGCAGTAGGAGGGCAGCTGCTCGCATTCTGCTTTGGAGAAGTTGGAAAGAGTGAAAGTTACAGACACTGGGACCAAAGCCTTTCCATGATTGAGATTTAGAATTGATCTTAGGAATAAATTCTTTACTATGAGGGTGGTAAGGCACTGGGATGGGCTGTCTATGGAAGCACGGGATTCTCTGTCCTCGTCAGAGCTGAAGGTCAGTCTGGATGGAGCTTTGGGTGACTTGCTCTAGTGTGAGACCCTGGGTGATTGTTAAGGTCCCTGCCAACCCAAGCCATTCTCTCATTCTGTGATCACAGAGTCATAGAATGAATCACGGACTCGCAGAGTGAGTCCCAACAGCTACATCAGGCTGCCCATCCATCCAGCCTGGCCTTGAGCTCCTGTAGGGATGGGGCACCCACACTACTCTAGGCAGCCTGTTCCAGGGCCTCACTGCCTTCTGAGTGAAGAGTTTATCCCTAACATTTAACTGAAGTCTCTCCTCTTTTAGTTTAAGGCCATTCTCACTTGTTCTGTCGCTGTCAGATTGTGGTGGATAGAAGATGATGCATAGAAGTATATCAGACTATACCCAAGGATACCCAAAAGTTATTTTTCTTACAAGATAATCTTAGGCACTCACAAAAGAAGAAAAAGTCAGTTTTGACTTGCCATCTGATGGTTACTTTTGGCTGCTGGAGATGAGGACCATTTCGTGCCCATCCTCCTGTGGGATAGGCTGGAGTGTGATGGGTTAAGCTCTTGCCAAGGCAGGAGTCACTTTGTAATAAGTCTCAAAATCAATGCAGTGCCACTGCTTGTTACAGGATTTTGAATGAAAAATGTGTTGTTCTGCTGTCTGCCTGGAGGCATGGAGCCTGTGATGTGTCCCTAAGCAGCACCCTTGATTTTGGTTCAGCGGTGGCCACGTCTCTGCCATCAGCATTACCTGGGATCAAGCTGCAGTTTTACGCTGGCCAATAGGCAGTGCATTGCTTTACAGCTCTCCCAGGGCCCAGGCCTTCACTAAGATATATTGTTTCAGTCTGGATCCCGAACCTAATTCTGGGAGTATTGCTCATAACTCTTGAGGTCTTTCTGTGTAAGGACTAGAATGAATAAACAATGCTTTTCAAAATCACCTGGCGTGGTCTGCAGTACCAACAGACCCCACACACACAGTTGTAGTTTCACAGAGTATGGATTGTGTTCCCTGTGCTTTAACACCAGGGGCACAGAGCCCCATGTCCACAGCAGGGGGGTCCTTGCAGGGTCCTGCCAAACAAAGCAGCATGAGGAGCCCACATGGCTGCTTCAGTTCCATGTAGCCTGCTGTGAGTGATGTGCACCAAGGAAGGGATGCTCAGCAGGTGCCAGGGCCTCCGTCTGCAGAGGGACTCCTGGATGCTTTCAAGGCCAGGCTGGATGTGGCTCTGGGCAGCCTGGTCTGGTGGTTGGCAACCCTGCACACAGCAGGGGGCTGTAACCAGATGAGCACTGTGGTCTTTTTCAAACCAAGCCATTCTATGATTCTGTGAATTGCGTTCTCCATCACAGGTGGGTTACGGCAGTGATTCAAGGTCAAATGAAACAGCAAAAGATGAAATATGACAGCAGAGTGTCAACAGCCATTTTACGTTGTTACCTGTGGTATTTTCTACAGAAGTTTGCTCTCAGAGTCAAACAGTCAATTAACTTAAACTGTCTATAATTCAGTTTAAATTAGCGGAGTTAATGTTGATTCTCTCTCAGCTAGCACATTATTACTCTTTCTTTTAGAATGGGAGTGTCATTCCTGCAAGAGCTTACACTGTGTTACTTCCCATTGCAGATGTTAAATAAGCACGTTGCTGCTGTCAGGTGGCTCAGCTCCATGCTGTATGCAGCGATGTCAGCTTGAAGGAACTGTTTGGAAATCAGTATTTGAAAGTGTTTGCACAGCCCCCTGTTGCCTATTTACATCTTGTTTGTGCTTATGGCACAATTAGGTCTTTTATTCCTTCGAAGTAGAAGTGTCTTCGGTTGCTTTTCATAGCTCATCAGTAGTGATGGCCATTTGATTTCAAAGCAGAAGTGTTAGGCAGGAGGCAACTTCTCTGACAGCACTGCAAGGACTGTCCGTGGGACTCAAATCTTCTTTATTGGTTTTATAACAATATTTTCTGATTAAAAAGAAAGAAAAAGACACATTCGTATATCTTTCTTTGCTTTTTCACAGTATAATATATATATGCATATTTTCATCTTCCTAATTGATTCTTATGGCATTCAGGACATGTAGTGTAATGCTCTCGGTTTCTGTCGGAGAACGGAGACAAATGTTTTTAAGCCCAATCTTTCCCTGTAACTGGAAGAAAAAGCAAGCGAATGGGAGCGATTCAGCATTGGGAACAGCTTGTTTCTGTGTTGCAGATGTGCCTTTTACATAAGGTTTCTGTTTCCCCTGAGGTACACGTGAGCTAAGGAGTCTGACCGAAATAGGTTTGAACGTGAGCTAGCAGTCTCTGTCAGAAAGTAAAGGCATGTTTTAGGAAGGGGAGGGTTCACAATTAACAACTGAAGTATGAACGTGAGCTCTGCACAGCAGTTCTTAATTAAATGTGAAATCAAGGGAAACTTCATTTTGTATCTCAAGGTTTCTAGGTGGGAATGTGGCACAATGAACTTCACGAGGCAAATAATGGCTTTCTGAGTTCTGCATTCATGGTAGAGGGAAAATGTGCTGATATTTATGGCTGCAGTGGGTAAAAGAAAGCATCTATTGGCACTTGGAGTGTACCAATTCCACCCTGGCAAGTTTTGTCGTGCTAATTTCTCAAAACGTTGCCCTGATGAGCATTACATGTCCTACTTAATATATTCCTTGGTAGCTTATAATATAAATGAACATGTGCTAAATTTATCCTACTTTCTAATGGAAATTGTAAATTCAATTATAATAATTATCTACCTATCTCTGTTATTTCTTTCTGCCTAATTTGCTTGCAGAATCTGAGCTTTTGTAGACTTTGTGCTTGTTATTTATAGCATATATATTTAGCTTACTCTCATTGTATTTGCTTTGTATATATTCTTCAGAAGCAAGTTTTCAGGGATAATTTGATTGTTCTGTGATCAATAAGAAGAACTCATTTGTTTGAGAAATGCCTGTGATCTAATTGAATTGAGAATTATTGCCAATATACTCTTAGTTAAATTCAAAATGGATTTTCACAAATGATGCTATCAGCAAAGTTAGTTCTTTCTGGTGATAAATAAGGAAGTAAAAAAGAGGGCTGAGGATATTTTTATGTTTTGTAATATATTTTAGAGGGGCATCTGGTTTATTTGGTTCTGAAATTACTGTCTTCTCTGCAGGGAGCTCTTGCATGTTGCATGCTGATGTTTCGCAGACCATCAGTATTGTCATGCAGCTTGCCCACAACCAGTGCCTGGATGCACGGTTCCAACAGAGCACTTCTTTAAGGCCTTTGAGATGCACAGATCTCAGTTACATGTGTGAGGTTAAATAGCATAAGCAGTCAGACTCAAAAAGGGTGTCTCAGCTGGAATTCAGAAGTTAACTTAACGTACCAGAGCAAGAAGAATATTTGGCCAGGTAGAGGAAATATTTCATGGTCTCACCATGGTGAAACCAGCAGCAGAATTATGCCTTCAAAGAAAAGAAAAAAAAAAAAGTTCAGTATTTCTTTTACTGAAATAATTGAAATAATGCTCTTATTTGGTTTGATCTTCACGTTAGTCTGTTTACTTGCTTTTCTATCTCAGGGAGCTCTGTGCCCACTCCTCACTGCAAGGCAGAAGTAACTTATGTATGTCTTTGAGTCTGCTCGTCAAAACCCTCACTCAGCAGGGCTTTCCTGCACTGCACAGTGCCCTTTGGAGGCTCAACTCTGCTTTTAATAATCTGGTTGTTTCTTCAAAAGAGAGAGTGTAAACTTCAACTGGGCTGTGAATACAAAAGTCTTTGTGGCCAAATAGATTAATTCCTGTCTTTGTTGAGTGAGGAAGTTTCCTTTGATCAGCAGGGAGGCAAAGCCCAAAGCAAGCAGTCTCTTTGGATGTTTTTGTCCTTTGGGACAGCAAATGCAACGTTCCAGGTAGCAGGTGACATGCAGAGAGCTCCTTGCTCTTGGTCATGATCCTGTAGCAGATGGAAACGGATTGCTCTCCATGCTGATAAACAAGCATTTTCTATCCAGGGATGAAGGTGAGAGTGTGCACCTTGTTGAGTTGGCTGTGCCACCGCTGTAGAGGTCCCGGAAATGGAGAAAAAGATGGTCTGCACACTGCTGTGTTGTGTTCCTGCACCCTGATGTGCTCCATGCTGCTCTTTTGGGTGGTGGCGATGTGGAAGGAAAGAGTTTGGGCACAATTGCCCTGCAGCAGTTTGTGATCCCTGTTTGCCTGCAAGAAAATACTGGAAAACATTTCCTTTCAATTAGGATAGAAAAAAATATTCCTACAAAAGTGCAGTCGTCTTGGCTGCCAGTATGCAAGCTTCTCTTTCTATTTAACCTGTGCCTATCTGGCAGTGGCTCTAGATTTGTAACTTCATGCTTCTTATAAGATGATTTCGAAGAGGGCATTCTTTTACCTTGAAGATACTCCTTTCCATCCACTCTTGCACTTTTGTGACGACTCACAGTCAGTGCATGGCAGGGGCATTGTGAGACTCTCTGTATTTGTTCTGCCTCACTACAGAGAAAAGAGAGATGTCCTGGTATCACCCAGAACCAGTCTGCTTTTGGGATAGCAGCTGTGGATATCTTCTGAAGGAATTGAGTCAACTCTTTATAAGGGTAGATAATGGCAGGGCAAGGGGAAATGGTTTTAAGTTGAAGGAGGGAAGATTGAGGTTGGATATCAGGAGGAAGTTCTTTGCTATGAGAGTGGTGAGGTGCTGGAACAACTGCCCAGAGAGGCTGTGATGCCCCATCCATCCCTGGAGGTGTTCAAGGCCAGGTTGGATGGGGCCCTGGGTCTAATATTAGATATGGAAGTTGATGACCCTGCCTGCAGCAGGGGTTGGAGCTTGATGATCCTTGAGGTCCCTTCCAACCCCAGCCATTCTATGATCCTATAAACAAGTCTGTTTCTTATGCACTTTGATATGTTTTATCCATTGCTGGTATTCCAGTTTCTTACAGTGAGTTGGATATTGCCAACTATTTTGCCCATTAAATGAAGTTGAAATAGATGTGTGAAAGTCTGTGAACAAATTGCAATGTTCTCAAGCTGCTTCTGAAACAGATTTTTTCTTGTCATGTATATAACAGAAGTTTATGAAAACAGTCTCAGTTTCCATCAAGATTTCTTTTATTATTTGGTTAGCTGGCGAGTCGTACTGAGGGTGTTCCTGTTCTGTTGTATAATGTATGAAGTGATTTTAAATACTCAACAGTCTGGTTTTCTATTTTGAACATTTAAAATATGATGCTATAATAGCAAACTGCAAATTCCTTATCAGTTTAAGTGAGATGTTTTTAAGAATGATTTGGATTCTAAGTGTGCAAAATACAAAAATAATGGAGAAATCATTAAGCTGTTTGTTCGCCATAACTTTAAAGCTCTGTGGTGCATAGGGGTCGAGGACAATCAACACAGACCAAGAAATCAATATTCTATCATGATATTAAGTGGGGATTTATAAACTTGTGCAATGCTTTCAAGAGATTTTTCCTGAAATACCAAGCTAATTAATCATGAACCCTTGAGAGATTTTTCACTGTCAAAAGTAAAAGGTAGATTTTAAGCTAATGGCCAAACACATTCAGTATTCATAGCAGCAAGTTCTGAGAAGTTTTCACAAATCACAGGGTTATGGATTTTACATATGTTAACATATGAACAGTTTTAGAGCTCAGTTTTATATGAACCAAGGCACGTCTCCAAAATGCACTGGTTGATAACATGGTCTGTTCAAAATCGGTTTCTTCCAGCACCTGCCTCCTCCGCTGCCCAGCAAGACCCCCCCACCTCCACCTCCAAAGACAACTCGGAAGCAAACATCTGTTGACTCGGGGATTGTCCAGTGAAGAAAGAAGCCTTCTTTTCCAAAGAAAAAGCTGTAACAATTCACTTCCCTAAGTATTTTAAAGTATATAATGTTTACCTCGTTCAGGCACGCAGTATCTAACGTTTAGTGCAATGACTCTAACTCGGTAAGAATCTGCTTCTGGCAGTGTTTTGGAAGCACCACTACATTAACCCCCTTTCTGGGGATATTTCCTCCCATAACTTGAAAGGAATCTGCATTTCTACTTGAGCCCGGGAGGCATTCACCAACTGACAGCACCCTCTCCCTCAACCTCCCTCGTTCTTATTCCGCATAACTTCAGGCACGCAGGTAGCTGTGGAGATTAAGGTAGGAGCTGAATATTTTGTAACTAAGGCATTTAGGTAGCTGTGGAGTTTTAAACGAACTGAGTATTTTGTACTTAATCTCAGTGTATATAGGAATCAATGGCAATATTCACAGTGAATTTAATGCACGTTGGATTAGGCTTTGTGATAATGAGAAGCTGCAGTAGGATTTCCCCAAATAACAGTTATCTCCAGGCCCTGCAATCAGACACAGCTTATTTGTGTCATACGTCTTCATTTCTGCCGTGTCATGAATAAGCTGAGAGCTGATGGCCTTTTTCAAACCAGTCGTTTACATTTTCATTCAGTTGGCTGTTCTTTGCATCATCAGCTGGTAAACCAGGACAGCCTCTTAGCCATGGGTGGGCACGAGCATATAGGAAAAGAAACAAAGCACACAGGTAGATTTGTGGTCATTCTAGACCTCAGTACAAGGATGAGAAAAGCTTTCTTTTTCATTTGAATGTGTAATATTTCATGTGGATTAGGGTGAACTGGGTGGAATCACTTTGTGCCATCATTCTGTACAGAATGTGTATATACGATGGTTTTTAGAATGTTTAATTTTTATGCTGCCTGCTTTTCATGTGATAATGAATTAATGTACCTACAAGAAATGCCTTACATATTTTTAATTTCTTAATTGCTGAAAGTGTTAAAAAAAAAAAAAAAAAAAAAAAAAAAAGCTAATTTTTTTCCAATTATTGGCCTCTGAAAAATATTGGACAGTGATGGGGAGGGGCGTTGGGAGGGAGGAAGGAAACTAACTATACTGTAGCGTTTTTTATTGTCATCACACTTCTGTTTTTTACTATCTGCAATCTTTATACTCTTATGGTAGATTGTTTTTAAATATACCACTGACTCAAAAAAATAAAATACTATTTTAAAAATTTGTCTTAAGAAACTGAATACATTTCCTTGGTGTTTTCCCTTCTTCCTGCAGAATTTCAGTATTGTGCTCAGTGCAGGGCTGCTATAAGTGCTGACTTCTGCTTTTTTTTGTAGGTTAACAGGCAGAAGCATGCTTTACACAGCAGCAAAACAGTAATGTTGTAAAGGCAGAATGGTTGTCCTTTCATAAAGAGTGGCTCAAATAGTTAATTATGTGCTTATAATTTTGCTTGTAAACATCATGGAACTTTGGGTCAATCAAACGCTTCGCTTGCAATGAGAGAGCTATCAGAATTAACTGCTACAGATTGTCCTACACTTCCCTACTTCTTTTGGGACTGGTATAACCTCCTTTCAAGAGAAACAAGCTGAAAAGGATTCTTTCTGTTGATCAACAATGTACTACAATATTAACTCTGTAAGTCATTAGTTTAATTGAAAATCAGTTTAAATTCTGATATTGTTACTGTGCTGAAGACTGTTGGGATGCTGGTGAGTTTTCCTCTTTTCTGTTCCATTTGCATCCTGAAGTCAACAAGACATTTGCACATGGACCTTTAATTGAATGGTTATGAGCCGTATTTCTGATAATGTGTTTGTTTTCACACATCTTTTACAAATTCCTGTGCTCATGCAGGTGTTATGGTTTGGCCCTGCAACACTCCTCGAACAAGAGCTGCAGTTTTAAATTGGCCTTGCACTACAAACTTTAAATCTCGTACATACGTATGTGTTACAAATATACAAGCTGAGATAAGGGGTTGAAAATCAGACTCTCAGATTCACTTTCAGGCCCAAATTGTCACCATTTTTTCAATCTAACAGCTTCTAGGCTTCGACTCTTGTAAAACCCAGCCAGAACGAATCATTACCCTCCTCAAAGTGTTGTAAAAATGCACTTCAGCAAATCCAAAACCTAATTCAGTTACAGTCTCTAAGCAATGAACAATCCTGCGAAGGCTGTTATTTTTCCTACAGTATATTGTCTTCCTTTATCCTCCAGTGGTGGTACAGCAGAACATACAAACGCAGTATGAATTTCTTGTGACGCTGCAGCAAAGCTCAGCTCACGTCAAAGAGCTCTAAATGAGAAAATACAGGAAAATAAGATTATTTAATGTTACCCAAAGTAGTGTCTCTCCCACTTTCGTTGCCATACTCGTGTACTCACAAGATCTGAGGTGTGCTTGTCCAAGAAACTGCCCAAGCTTGGTTACAGTGACGGTAAGGACAAGAGGTGCGTCCTCTGGGAAATCCACATCCCATCTCCTGGGTTGTCCTGCTGCTGGTGAACGTGTGTGGGTTTGTGGATGTGCCCTTTGAACCTTTGGGGATTTTGCAGTGGCTCATCTTTTGTCTCTGTGGTCTGTCCTGTTGCTGTGGAAATTCATTACTGGGCACTAAATGCATGAGGGCCTGTTGTCTCCCTCCTTGGTGAGGATGCTCTGCTGTTCCACCTCTGCTCCTGCTCTTCCCACCATCATCTCTTACAAGCCTTGGTTTGTCCTGTGCTTAAGGGCTGCAGAGCTGCTCTGCTGGCATACCCATTCCTGTGAGAGGAACATGTGGTAACTTTCCTGAAAGTAAGTAAATGAATACACATTTAGGTCAAGTTTCAATATTGTTTGAGAAAACAGATTTTAATGGGCAGTGGTTTTTCCTTCTCGGAAGTTGACCTGTAGTTACTCACAGAAAGTTAACTTACAGTCCCTTAATAACATTGAGAAGCCTGTAATTCTCATTCTCTAAGTCTTAGCTTATGACTGAGAGGATAATTTCCACAGGCATACATGTCGATTCTCATCAGTCTCATGCAGTACCACAAAAGCTTTGCTGGGAGGCAGTTGTTTGTTTTTTAATCAAATTTATTTTCAGCGGGAAGCTCAATGCAAAGGTCAGTTCTTAAGCCACTTTTTCTAATTGACATTTTTGATTACTGAAGATGTCTCTGGTGATACCGCAAATTTCTGACTGTAGAATGTCCTTAAATTCAGTTTTGTCTTAATGCATATCTTATTCTTCACCACTGATATCTGAGATGTGTGTCTTTGTTTGCAGAGAAGTAATGGAATGTGAATATGGATGAATCAGACTAAAGATTGTCCTCCTGTTCCTGAATCACAGAATCAGAATCACAGAATTGTAGGGGTTGGAAGGGACCTCCAGAGCTCATCGAGTCCAACCCCTCTGCCAAAGCAGGTTCCCTACAGCAGGTCACACAGGTAGGCATCCAGGCAGGTCTTGAACATCTCCAGAGAAGGAGACTCCACCACCTCCCTGGGCAGCCTGTTCCAGTGCTCCGACTCTGAAGGTAACAAATTGGATAGCTTGTGTTGGGGAGGAGCAGGATTGTCTCCGAACTCAAGTCAGATGTTGTTTCTCTGTTACACACCTATATGAATACATGTGTGTCATTTGTACACATACATGCATATGTCCAAACACACATTTTTTAATGCAGAATGGCTTATTTCGTTGACTAGCTGAAGTGTCCAGCTTCTCACTTCTTGACAACTCTCCTGTTAGTTGTTGTGACCTTCCTGGGATCCATCCCATGCAAGCAGCTGACTTTGATGCCATCCCATGCAAGAAGTAACTTTGATGCCAGCTGTCCCATGGTGGATACTCATACTTACCTCTCTTTAGAAAGCCTTCTTTGACTACACTGTTGTTTTGTGTGTATATTGGACATAATCAGGTGAAGTAAGCAAAGAGACTTTTTGCCTAGGTAACAGCTTGTTTTAGATTTAAGTGTATGTATGGCAGTTTTAGTACCTAACAGTAGTCATCCTATTTGTTCCATCTGGAAGTTGCCATACTGTGTTGGACTTTGGAATATCTTCTGGAGCTGTTTTGAAAAAGTATTTTATCCTCAGTCTGAAAGCAGTGGAAGGGGTGGCAGACATTGTTTTTTCCAGCTCTGTGACGTTAGGTGTGTGTCTGTGGTGCATCAGAGGTGAGGGTGGTGGTGGATGCAGTCTTTGTGTTGGCAGCACGTTCTGCAGAGCTGCAGCTCTTTCCCCTGCTGCCTTTTAGTTGCACTGCTGGAAGTGAGCAGGATGCCCTGTCCAGCTTCTCATTGCCTCCCCATCATAAATCTCTTGGTTAAGTTGGGTGTATTCTCGCAGTAAAAAATGTGTGATATTTTTAAGTAAATGCAGAACATCTTTCTGGCTGTTTGCTTACTGTTAATGTGTCCTTTGAGATACTGCATTGATAAATTGCCTGCATTTTGCTCAACTTATTTATATTCAGTGAAAAGCACTCACTTATACGCAGGATCAGCCGTGAAAGTCACCACACTTAAGCCCTGCTCACTTCTCTGCTCTGATTGCTCACCACCCTCCGCACAAAACAAATAAGGCATTTTTCAATTTTTCCACCCTGCCTTGTGATGAAGCAATAAATTGTAGCACATGCAATGTATGGCTGTGCAAAAAGGGCTAAGTACATGCAGGTGTGAGGTGGAACACCGAAACACTGAGGGTTTTCCTGCATCTCCAGCTTTCAGCATTAATGTGGTTATAGGGACTGTGAGGTCGAGCTACTCCGATATTTCAATTTCCTTTCATTCTGCTTTTGTACTTTTCACGGATCTAAACTGAATTTCAGGCTTGCAATTGCCCTGTTCTTGGTAATGCAGAGACGCGTGGCTCGGTATAAATACTTGTTTCTTGTATGGGAACTGACCTGCTGCTGAGAGGGGCCATTAGGAGGGTTTGTAATTTCCCCTGGTTTTGTCATACGCATACTGTAGACATGAATAATTACTGTAAATTAGGCTCCTCCATCAAACAGTAGACCCTTTTATTTATTTATTTCCAGGGTGACAGTGCTGTATTCCAACAATTTAATGCGAAGTTGCTGAATCAAATAGTTCATTTCACATTGGAACGAGCTGGTTTTGAACCAGTGCATTGCGTGGACACGTGCTGACCTCCCCCATGGGACGGGGGCTCTGCATGGCCCCATTTTGCATTGAGCCTTCATGCCATCCTGGTGCAGCGACGTGGTGATGGATGGTTTTCAAAATCCAAGCTGACTATCTAAGATTCATTGCCACCCAAATTCCCCATGTGCCATCCTACACTTGCAGAGATTTTATGGATGGTGAAACATTGCTATTTTGGGTAGAATCTGTATTGTTAGGACCATTCGCTCAGATTTTCACTGCGCGGTTTGGCACTTCTGTTGTTGAACTTAAATATTTGCAGCCCAAACTGCATTGCAGAGCTGCAGAACATAAATGGAGGGACACTGAGCTTAGCATATTAATGCTTCAGACTCAGTGGTAAAGCTTTGCTTTCCTTACCAACAGGTTATTTTTCATTTGCATAACTTGCTAATGATTTTTATGAGCTTCCTCTGAGTTGGAGCCCAGGGCAGATTTCAGTAAGCCGCCCATAT